ACAGGTGATACGAAGCCACATAACCCAGGAAAGAGTAAGTACAAGTAGTGTGTGAGGGATCCGGACACTCGAAGTATTCTACATGTTGAGGAAAGACGGTCCTGACGACGGAAGCCTCGGGCGAGGCGTACGGTTCACCACATTCCACAGCGACGGCTGGTTCTCCTTCTCGTTACGAGAGCTCGTACGAGTGCGCATGCGCGCCCGCTTCGGGGCGGAAGCGACTTTCACCCAATCGGGCGCCTCGATCGTGTCCGTCTTGACAGCGGTAGCCGCGCCGCGCCGCTTCCTGAATGGTGAGCCGGCTGGACCGAGCGGCATGCGAATCGGCGTCGAGGTCGGCACCGAAGATACAGCTGTTTCGGAGGCGGGCGTCGATGGCGAGGATGGCGCGAACTCCACCTTGCGTAGGGCGCTCTTGGGGTACAGCGGGCTGCCGGTGTCGTCCTGCTTCAAGACGCTGAATGTCGCTCCGCGACTGCGGCGGGTGCGCCAGTTCGCAGCGGAATCCGCGATGCTGGGACCAGGAGTGTCGACAAGACTGTCCCCTTGAACGCGTGGGCCATTGCTAAGAGCACTGTCGACAGGAGTCTTCGGGCTTGCGAGCGACGCCGGAGACTCGGACTGGGTGCGCATGCGGGCCAGGCGCACCGCGGGAAGCTCATACTTAGCGAATGAGGGCGGCCTGTATATCATATTAGGGCCTTAACGCTGAAAGCAAAGTGGTGCTGAACTTACGACGGAGAAGGAGTCACTTCCTTGGCGTTCGAAGCGCGTAGGTTGAATCCGAGCGGAGATACAGGAGCGAGAGCGCCACGTTCCAGACGCTCAACTTCCGCCTCCTTGAGAGAAAGAGAGCGTTCCAGCACAGCAGCATCAGAGCGCGAGCGACTGTAGGTGTCGGGGGAAGGTTCCTCTTGCCCAGACAGACTTTGCGAACTCTTCAAAGTGATGCTGTCCGAGTTGAAGCGTACGCGGCGGGTGTCGACATCCGCAGAGGTGACTGAGCCAGGAGCCAAGTCCACGTCTACTTCAGAGTCCGGAGTAGGAAGGGCCGCGGTGATCTGTGCTTGATACTGCTTTGAACAAGTATATAGTGCTTGGAGCGATAGTCCTCCAATAGTTGCGGGACTGAGTGCCGCTGCTTCAGATTGAGAAGGTACTGCTGCGGAGAACGGCGTTGAGGAGGTGGGCGGAGATAGCCGAGTAGATGCATCCAGAGAGAGTTCCTCGGGGATGCTCTGAGGCGAGGATGGTTCGACCTCAAGAGATGACGCGGAAGTGTCGGGATTCTCTTCGGACGTGCCCGTCAAGGAATTCGATCCGGCAGCACTCGCATGTTGAGGCAGCGAAGCCGACTGAGGGAGCGTTGAACTCGTAAGCGCCAGTCCAGAAACACCGGCACTCGTCGAAGAGACGAGTGGTCCGTCGATGTTGGCGTGCAGAGCTTCCTCGTCGTCCGCTTTCTGGTCGTTCCCACTAGAGACGCGGTTAAGCACCCAGCCAACTCCGTCGAGAATGTATAGGAGGACAGAAGCTAGGCCAACAGCATGGCATGCAGCGGTATAGCCGAAGATAAAGCCCGCGGATGCGATAGTGTAAGCCATGCTCGATAGGTGATAGACCATGTCCGGCACGAAAGGGATAAAGATTGCCAGGACGAAGCAGACGCCGAGGGTGGCAGCCATGCGGGTGCCGGCGAGGTAAGTTAGGCTCGCCCGGAGTTGATCCCAGGATTGCACGAAGGGGTCATCCGAGCGGTACCGTGTCATGTCAAAGAATTCGGGGTCATCTACCACTGCGTAGCACACGGGTTGAGGGGCGATATCCGATTCAGCAAGGCAGTGAGGGCCGGATACGATGGGAAAGAGAAGCGGGGGGAGAACCTTCCCGTCGACCGAGATGTCGACGTCAGGGATTTTGCCGGGGTCGATATGGAAGTACAACGGCTCGGACTGGAGGGCGGTATCCTGGTGGTTTGCTGTAGGGTTAGAGGAGAGGCTGAACGGATTGTGAGTCATCCAACGCTGAAGATTGGCTGGCATGCGGTTGTATAGGAAAGGCAGGAGGCCAAGCATGCCGGCGAGAATCAGAGGGAGCATCGTGGACGGTCAGATGAGGTATCGCACGGGAAGAGGGATCGCGAAGGGGAAAGTGAGGGTAGGAAGCAAACTATAACCAAAGCACCATGTGTAGCGGTATCGGTCTCAACGTTTGCATTATAATCTGTCACTTTCTACGAGTGCGACGCGGTCGGTCAAGCTGATGATGAGCATCGCAGCCAAGACGCGTCGACGCGTCGAGAGGCGAATGCACGGCTTCGCTCTCGCCATCACCACGTTCGTGCCTTTGAGGACAGCTTATTCCTGATCGAGCGCCCTGACCATTCTAGAAGACAATGCTTTCCTGCTTTTCATAGGCCTGACTATTTATCGCCCTCTCTGCTGTATTCGCTTTGCTTTGAACCCCGACGACTGTATATTCGACATACCATAACTTGTACTGGTACTCGACTAAGCATTATTCCTAATCTATCCATCGGCCCGTGAACATTCAAGTGACAGTCAGACGGTGGCGTCTTGCGGACATAGACACGCGCACGCACACCAGGCAGGCCCGCTGCGCCGTGGGCACTTTGTTCTCCGAACCTTGCATCACAATTGGCCCCTTCTATAAGATCCCTCACGGCCCGTGTGCTTCCAATCACACTGCATTGCCCCCTTCACGCGCGTCTCGAGTTATCGCCACACCCTCATCTGTGGTGTCGCCCATGGAGAACCGTCGCACCTCGAATCGCACCTCGAATCGCAACACCGTACCTGGCCTCCGACAAATCGACCTGGCCACCGTCCGCGCCCAATACGTTCGCGAGCATAAGACCGGAGCTGTCGGTGGAGATCACATGGCTGAGGTGTGTGCTGTGTCTCCATTCTACATGTCTGTGGTTGTAGCCCTAACCGAGCCTAGACGCAGTTCCAAGTACGGCACATGAAGATATCGAAGCCCCGACCGCTCCCGACGTACGTGCATACCTGCACCACCGCTGTTCCCCCAGCTCATATATCTGTCAGATCAAAGAGCCCAAGATCCCCTCGCCAGCGCACTCATAGCAAGCTTCATAAACCGCGGCCACCCCAGCTCATGCCCTCTTCGCCTCAACGAGACCCAGACGAGCCTCCGCCTACGCTCCCGCCCCTTTTCTTGGGCGACGGGCATGATCCCGAGCCCGCATTCCCAACATCACCGCATTCCGCCCAACATCCTGACCTCGATCAAGATGAAGATGACGAACCTCTGACAAGTTTCCGCGATCGCAGAGCGGGAGTAATCCTGCAAATGGGATCGCCCAGCGCTTTCCGTGAAACGACGCCGGGGGATCTCGCACGCGCACTGTTCGAAGCTCGGATCGCTCGCAGGAAGAGCTATCTTGGGCATCCGGACTACTACATCCCGCGATCTGTCAAGACCCGTGCCTCGGTCGTCTCGCAAGCGCCCTCCACTGCACGCATGAAAGCACTGGAGACGTCCACAGATTCTATTCCCCCACTACCGGAACTCTTCGCGCGCGCTTCTACCAGCACCATTCCTTCAGTCGACGAAGCTGTAGACGGGGATGACACACCACAGCTTCCTCCTCCCGCAACCCATCCATTTGCGCCTCTCAAACGCGCCTTGTCTGACGTCGTGAAGACCAAAAGCCCGCGTTCTCGGATTTCATCTCTCTTGAACCCAATCTCTCGAGCCCCTCGCCGTGTACTCGTGGAGGAAGTCGATGATGAAGGGACACCACCGGCGCCTCCTACCTCGCTACCGACGAACACGTCACTCGAGCCCACGCGAGAGGCCTCGCCCTGTCCATCTGATGACGTGGTTGCAGGAGTCGCCTCTTTGAGGTTATCAGATGCCTCAGCAAGCACGCCCAGCCTCGACCAGTTTGTTGATGCCGAAAGCTATCACGAGAAGGAGGAGGGAGAGCAGGACAAGCAAGCGGACGACCCGCCCCCTCCACCGCCGACTCGTGTGTTTGTCGCGCCGATGCCCTTGGCCGCGTGGCATGCGTCTCGCAGCACAATCTCCAGGATGAGCACCGTCCTTGAAGAGCCATCTCCGGTACCCGCGAGTATCCATTTGCCAAGCTCACACTCAGCCTCTACCACCTCCTCGGAGCATTCTCTCTCCACCCACGAACAACCTTCAGGCGATGGACCGGACACTTCGGGAACGTCTTTATCCGCACATGCGCAGACACCACTCAAAGCCGCTGAGAATCTTCCCTTCGTACCCAGACGGCTTTCACGCGCTTCATCGCTGGTGATAGTTCAGGGTGAGAAGCCATTACCGACTCCACCTGGCGTGTGAGTACCGTCCTACTTCCTGGTTACGGCCAGTCACTGAATCCATATATGTCCTTACAGCAGCCCAATCAACTCTGCAGACCGTATGTACTGGGTATCCGCCGGTGGTATGACGGCCGCTCGGTCATTGCGGCCTCAAACCCAAGGCGGACGCAAGCTCGTGCGTAAACGTGCACAACACGCACTGCACCTGGAGACAGACGCCGACGAAGACCTGCGAACCTTCCGGTTGCAGCTCGCAGCGCGACCAGAAGACGAACCTGCAGGCTGGTACCGTAGGGATGGGGACAAGCCTCCGCTCAGTGTCACCTCGTTTGGCTCTCTTCTCGGCGTCCGCTTCCGGAATGATTGCCGTATCGATTTCGGGAATGATGGTCGGCCTGGGGAGAGCCGTGTCTCGCCTACGATTTACGAATACATCTCATGAGCCTGTGTCCGTACTTGAGCCCTATGCATCTTCCTATGCTCTCCGTGCATTACCTACAAAATGAAATTGTATTGTTATCCCCGTGGATTTGAGCGGCGTAGTGAACAATGCACACATGTGCATATGTATCCACAAGCGTACGAGTAACGCGCGAATGATATCGTTGTATTCAACGTAAGAGGTATATGGCTTTACATGGTAGCGTTGGTACAAGTACAACAAGTGGTAAGACAACATCGAAGTGGCGGCGGAACGGCAGGCAGAGGGGCGTACTATCGTTATCGGTATAGGAAGGCGATCGTTACATTGGGTAGCATTACAGCACGGGTCAAACATGCAGAGGAAGCAGCGCGCAGCGCTAAGTAACGGACGGGAGGCAAGGCAAGGTGACTCAGGGAAACGGCCGGTCACATCAAAGTAACGGTCAGCTCTAACTTAGGCGCCGCTTTTCGTAGACGTGGCCTCCTCAGACCCTTCTACAGACGAGGCCAAGTCGGAGGGGCTGAGATCGGAGGCGGAAGGGGAGAGCTCGAGTACCAGTTCGCAGGTGGCCGCGTCGCCCTTCACTTCTTGAACGGACTTGTCCAAAGAGATCTTGTCGCCATTGCCGTTCTCGAAGTGCCCGTCCTGAGCGGACTTGCGGGCGTTTTCAGCGGGGTGGTTGCGCGAGACTTGGTAGCGAACGAAAGTGAGGCGGGCGGATGGCTTGACTTTCACTGTAGTTTGGCGAATCGTAAGACGATAGGTTGTGGCGTAGAAGTGCTGAATCACGTACCGGACATCGGAGTGCCAACGGTCAGCCCGTTCTCCTTGACAGTCACTTCGACGGAGATATCCTCGAGATCGGCTTCAGCGGCCTTCTTTGATGTCTAGAACACGAATGAGTTGGCTACGATTGCAATTCTAGGACAGATGCCGGCGTACCGCAGTGAGACGAGCATTCATGCGCTCCATGCGCTCCTTGTCCTTCTCTTCTGCTGCCTGGAGCTTCTTAACCGCATCGTCCGTCCACTTATCCTTGGCCTACGAAACAGTCAGTGAAGAGACTAGGGAGAGGGTGTTCCCGACGTACGCCAAACATAGAGTAGCAGTCCTTTATCCTCTCCTGAACCTCGTTGAAGGCTTGGATCACCTCATCCTTTTCATAACCCTCCAAGTCGTAGATCTTGACGTCGCGGTATGTCTCGATCGCCTTCCTGAGCGCGCTTATAGTCTCCTCGAAGACGCTGACGGCGCAAGTGTGAGAATAGATAGCGCGAGTAGAGGTAAGTTGTAGACGCACTCTTCGAGGGGCTCGACGTTCTTCGCGACGCGATTGCCATTGTCGTTGAAGAGCGCGACAAGAGCGCGACAAAGAATGACGAGCGCCAAAGCCCGCGAGCTGTACGGACGGTGGATATGGTGCGCGAGCTTTATTAACTCGCGGTAGGACTTGGGTGTCTCGACCCCGGGGATGTTCTAAGCCCACCAAAAGGTCAATGGCGAAAGGCTTACACAAGCTCCCACGGAGATGCACGTACCTGAAGGATGGTCAAGAACTCATCGTAGCGCGCTTGCAATGTTGTGAAGTCGCCGTAAGTCTCATCACCGCTCGCGATATGCAGTGCGAGCCTAGAATGATTCAGCAGTGCACCACATACGAGCAAAAGTGTGCTTACGCATGAGCAGCTTCCCATACAAGTTTGGACTTCAGATGCACCTTCCACTCGACCTCGGTCGTTGGCTTGACTGCGATCTCCATCGCACCATGCACCACATAAGCGAATTTGACCGCGTAGGTGACAAAGGACTTTAAACAAGTCAGCGCGCATACAACGGACTGTAAAGATCAAGTACCTTGTTGACGTCGTTGAGCGATTGCAAATTCGTCTCTGAGACGGTTTTTTCGAGATTCTGAAGAATGACCTTGGCCTCTCTGTGAAAGGTTAAGAACAACCGATTCAGAGTGTATGAAGTTTAAGCGCACCCTAGATGCTTGAGGCGGTGAATCTCATGTACTTTGATGTTGCGGACTAAGTCGCTATGGAAAGCTAAGTCGTCTTGTAGTTCGGCTTCGGAGAGCTCTTCGGTAAGCTCAACATCGCGTCCTGCGATTGACTGCACAACGGTCAAGACGTATCACAGGGCAAAAGTGTCACGAGGAACTCACGACGACCGTCTGGTCGGACGTCAGCTTGTTCGCGGCCTCCCGCAACTTCTTGCGGTTCTCGGCCCAAGCCTCGACGTCAGAAATGCAGGTAACGACATCGTTGAGCGTGAACAAGTAACGTTGTGCCTCGTCGCCGGAGATATCGGCAAGGCCAAAGAGCAATCTGATAACATAATATCAGTGAATAAGTAAATAGTCGTCAATTGAAGATCTCACTCCTCGAGAGAATCGATGCCGCCCTGGTAGAGGTCGAAGTTGTCCCAGTCTTCGGCAGCGTTCGGGTCCGCCTCTTCAATCTTGGCAATCAGCCCGTTAATCTTGTTGAGGACATCTCGAGACCTCTCGACGACGCGGTAGGCTACTTGTTGGTTACGCCGGAACTGAATGACATCGAGTCCGACGGCACGAAGTAGATCCTTAGATAACGCTGACACGCCGTAACCGTCGCCGTCGATAGTCGTGAGCTCATCAAGAAGACTAGCATCCTCAGAACCGACGTTGTTAGCCATATCGAACTGTTGGTGGACGCGACGAGTGGCAGGTACAGTCGAATGGTGGTGATGAAGTGCACACGAGAGGGACCTCAACCAGCGAGTGTCGCACTATTAACATGTGCATATATAGTCTGACAATGGCGCCACTACGCTGGCTGCTGAGCGTGAATCTGTTCCGTTGATTGATAGACAGATGACCAAGTACACGGCCATCCTCTCGAGAACCTACGGGCCAGGAGAGCAACATCCTATCGATGAAACCGGTGTTCCCATAACGCCTGTTGTATGAAGGGGGACTCCTCATGGCCTGTAGTACCGCGTGCATCCATGCAGGCCGTGAGCAGTGTAGCAGAGAGCAGAAAGGGGCTTCAAGTGGGCAGAGGGCAAGGAGGTGATTGCGCTGGCACGCCAGCCTGCAGGTAACATCGTGCACGTCCGATCTCTTCTAGTTGCGCCCTCAGATGACGGGTGTGTACTCTGCTTATCATGCCATTCTGATCGAGCAGAGTCAAGGTTGATGGATTTTCAGTGGCGGGAATCGCACAGGTGCATGGACCATGGCAGTCAAGAACAACAGCATCTTCGGCCTCCGGCTAACGACTGAGGACGGAGAGTTTTCTCATTGGCTCGGAAGTTGCCGCTGAGCGCCGAGCACTGGATCCCGCCATGAGCACTACTTCACTCTGACTTCCAAGAGCGATGCACAAGCCCATACTCTCGCAGTCGACGCTGCGATACTGCGTGTGACGTCATGGCGCAATATCACGGGTTCATGGACTATGTTCCAGCAGCGCTCGTTTTACCAAGTAACCCACCCGCAGAAAACCTGGAATTGGGCCGCACTGACCACGTCCGACGAGCATCTGCCGTTCCGCATCCCGTCCGAGAGACGGCGCGTGTGGGAAACCCTTGGCGATTGGACAGAGTCAATCAAGAGTCAATAGTGACCGGCATCGTGTCGTCAGCATCGCGGCCGACTCCTTGGACTAAGTCGCTTTCAAACACAACATGCGTCGCCATATGTCTGCTATGCTGTCACCTCGTTTCCTCCCGAAGGATCATACCCAAATACAGGGTTGCGTCAAGTTCACTTGAATGACCGAGCTGGAGCGACACGTTCTATCGTCTGGTAAGATGCTGTCCGCCATCTTTGAGGGCGCCCGTGTTGCGCAACGTCGGGAGCTCCTCAGTCGGTATGAAGGAGTCCTCAGTTAGATCACTAACCTGTCTTGCGTCTCTCACCGGAGGTGGTCCGGCTCAAAGACATTGCTCGTGCCATCACATCTACACGACGCAAACATGCTGCTGCCCGCCATGCATCAAACTCCTCGTCAACTAGGACAACTTCGCAGATCTGTCGCGAATCGCGAAGTGGTATCATCCCTGAAACTATAACAACCTGCTGTGAGCGCAATCCTCTTCTGCTACCTATCCTGTGTGCTCATGCCAGCATTCTCGTTTCTTTGGCAGTCTGCGGTTCGTGTGGGCAGCGTCAAGATGGCGCACAGGTGTCAATGCGTCGAAGCCATACAAATCTGCCGCATGCTTGAAGGCGAGCTCAGCAGGAACCGGAATAGCACTTTTATCGGCGTGGATTATCAACAGTATGTCGCGAATCGCTGCGTGAGACTAGTCCTTATTGTAGCCTGGCAGAATCGAGCGTCTGGCCTGCAGTGCGATCAATCAAGCTGTTGATGCCGACATCGATGAGTCTGCAGTCAGCGTACAGTTCCCATTCCAAGCCTTCCGAGATGCTCTCACTCGTTACAACCTGGAATTTGACGGGAGGCAGGCGACCGAGAGGTCATTTCACCGTTGTATCGGCGATTCTGTCCCTGATCCCAATTGCCAATAGGATGGAGGATGCCAGGTTGCGGGACGATGCCGCCACCAGAAGACATTCGTCTCTGTGCGAGAAACTTGCCAAACACAGTGATGTGAGTTTGCGAAAGGTCGGCGTTTATGGACGGGTGTTGAGATAGTATGTAGCATCCTCGCCCCTTCTCGCCTTTGGTCGAATTCTGCATCGCGCCTGTGGAGCAAGAACAACGCCAAGCTTCTCTGCGCGAGGCTGTAGGGCTAACATGTGAGGTTTCCCGTACTTATTGGCAGTCATCGAACTTACGGTGTTGCAGTTCATGTTGACAAAACGACAGCGCTACCTGGGCTCTTATTCCGTTTCCGAAGGAAGTATGCAGGCTACCGACTGAACAGCAAATCCAAGCTCCCGCCCGTTGCTTATCCCGACTTCTATGTGGAGTCGAAATTGATGAATGTCAACGAGACCTTGGTCAGACCGGTCGACAGCGAGGAGCTGGCCCAGAGCATCGATTCTCGCGCTAAACTCTGGGTGTATGGCGACTGTCTTGAAGGACACTATGAGCTACATCGACCGATGATCGGCGCATCAGGTCGCGTCCGCTCCGTGAGTATTGCCCCTACTCATGGGAAGTCTGTACGGGTGTTCAAAGGTGCGCGCCTGTCGATGCTTCTGCAGACCTCTCTCTTGAGACGGACACTAGACATGCGGGGACAACTGGCTTCAGATCGTCTTCTACTTGATCCCGACTTCTCGTCGCCAGGTATCGTTCAAGGCGGTGACAGGCTCAAGACTGCCGGTCGTATTTACGCCGATGAAGGGCCGAGCGGTGCTCTCATCCAGGTGAGATATATATGAATACTACCATGGTATCGAGTCACCCATTGATGTCTACATCAGATGCGACCCACGAATGACATGCCCATTATCAGCAACGTACATCGTCGACTCGACGAAACCTCTTCCCCTCCCTTCATCCCGCCAGTAGGGTCACTTCATCGTTCGGAGTCGATTTCCACCAAAAGCTCGGCAGTTACGACACTGCCTCTTCTTCCTCGCCCAATTGAATCTCCTGGGATGCCGCCGACTCCGTCGCAGCCAATGATCTTGAATAGTCTCTTACCGCTCAACTCCACCCCCGCCCCAACTCGGGCACACGCCCTGCGCGACTGTGACGACCGCCATCCCTCTCTCGACGTACCGTTGCGTTCCTCTGAAAGGCGTGCCGCGGCTGCAGCACGGTCATCATCATCTCGGCGCGTGCTAACACAGCCTATGAGTCTGTTTTCGAAGGCTAGTCTGCAACACGCTAATCCGACTGATGAGGTGAAGGAATCTTACTTTACGAAGCCGAAGGGGCCGGGGAAGGTGAAAGACTTGATTGGGCTTTTCGAAGGCCTTCGTGGGCAGGCGAATCGCCGGGGAGCGCAGGAACGCACCGAAGAGCGGCATGCTATCTCTAAAACGAAGAGCTATATTGCACGACGCTGACGGCTGAAATGATGTTCATGTACCATAAGAAACCGCACATGTCCTTTAGCCCTGCTATAGCACAGCGTAAGACGATGTAGTAACATCTATTAGTACGAGATCCGCGTCCGGAAGGTGCCGGACGCAATCTGTTCATCTCCGATTTTCGCCAGTCGCTTGTCGCGAACCATCAGCATCATCACGCATGATGTGTAGGCCACGCCATTAGAGTCGCATGATGCCTCGCCGGCATCATTTCCCGGTACTCGAACGTCCTTGGTGCGCCATGACCAATGCACGTACGCTACTTTCAGCCCCTTGTGATGGCTACTCTCCTTGGCTACTCGGCGATCCTCCGCTGACATAAAACGATGAACAACGTGCCCAACGACCCAGCCCCATACAACTTCCGAAAAAAGACGGGATCATCGCTCCGATATGCTACCCCTTGCGCTCATCTTACGAGACGTGATGGGATCGCAGACACCAGTTGTTTTGCCGCGAGGTGGATGCACGGGTAGCGCATGCGGCGACGATGCCTACATGTACTGATAGCAGTTGTTCCAGCTCGAACACTCTCGATGCGACACTCGCAGACATCTCTATGGGATCTACACCCCCGAAGGGCGACTCGCCTGCTTGACACCATCGTCGTCATTAATATTGATTGTACTTAGCTAGACTCTGACCACATCTCATCATGCCCCTCACCTCGTTCCTGTGGCAGTCAGCTAAAGGAGTATCGAATGTCGGCGCATTGTACAGACACCAATGTATAGAAGCTCTGCGTATATGCCGAAACCTGAAGTCTGAGAGGTCTTTGCAAAGAGACGGGATCGGATTCCAGATGTGAGTTGGCGATACAACCATACGAGTTTCCCCGTTTCTGACCATCCTACAGTCTCATGGATCTTGCATGTTTGGCCTTGGACTGCGCCGCCAGAGATGACCCAAAGGCGGAGGCAGCATTCCTCGCCTTTGACGAGGCCGTCGATGGGATGCGCCACACCGCCAAGCTCTCGGTGAATATCGCGAACAAGTACGGCATGTTCCCATGCGCGCTATCTGGAAGAATGCTCACCTCTATCTCAAGCATGGCGACGGCAAAGATTCATGACGATGCTGCCGCTCACAAGCACCAGTCGGTACTCGCGAAACTCTCGTTCCATAACGAAGTAGGTTTATTCGGGGCACTCACGTGCTCTCACTGACATCGGATCAGGCAGGTATGACGCCATTTGGACGCGCGGTCAAGAGGTCCCTTTATACCTTCTTCGTCGCCCCCTGCGAGGATACGACTTTCACCGATGTGAGCCATCTATTGCAATTCGCGTGTATGTTGGCACTTCTGTCACTCGAGCTTGTTATGACGTCTGATGCTGCCTTAGTTCACGTCGAACATACGGCGACTCTTCCTGAACTGATCTTCCGTTTTCATCGAAAACATCGGCAACGATGGTCAGAGAAGTTGCCCTTCCAACCATTGAGGTTCCCCCATTTCTATGCCAAGACCCAGCTAGATCGTATTGATGAAGAGGTCGTGCGTCCACTCGACAACCACAGCATGGACACCTTAGCGTCAGAAGAAATTATCTGGGCGTATGGTGATAACCCCCGCGGCCATTATGAACTGGTACGCGGGATGCGCCGCAGTCGCATACGTAGTATAAGTGTCGCACCTGCAAGAGACGGTCTTTGCAGAGTCTTCAGAGGCGCGTCACTCCCCATCTCTCCATTTCACTGCATCCTCACAATCTCCAATAGACATATGCGGGCATCTTGCGACGGAACGCTTCCTCTTCTGCGACGTCTTCTCACGGTGGGTTGAAGACAGTGCCACTCTGCTCCACTTCCAACCTTCAGGACGCATTCGCGAAGATGGAGATTGTCCTGGGCGTGTGGTCATTGAGGTGCGTAGGCAACGATCCACCGCTCGGGCTTGCTTGACACGTTCTAGCCCAACCAGGATCTCAATACTGTCTTGGTTGATATTGCGATCGCCGGCATTGTCGAGCAAGAAGTAGTCAGCCGCACTCTGGAGACATCACGTGCCCCCTACGACGGGTACGTCACGGAAACTATGCTCTCTTTACAAATCCATAAGGTGCGTGACAAGTCGTGACCTTTCATGGTCCACCGTTGACCATACCCAGGATGATGATCATATGATGCCGGGAGGGCTTAGTCCCAGCGATTATGCATTACTGGCCGTTGTGAGTAATGTCATATCCCGATTGATGCGAAGTTTGACTGACTTGCGGCGATCGTGTAGAACCCGCTGACAAGACAAGGTGACTGGTGGGGTTTCAAGGCCAAGCTGACAGAAGGCGTAGCCCATGTCAAGAGTCGATTTTGGCGACGCTCTCGAGGTTGACTTTCCCTTGATCTGTCAATGTCATTTTCCCATCAGTATATCACACCTCTCTCAAGATGCCCGTCCCACCTCTTTCTACCCTTGCTAGCACATGTGCCCTGCAAGGTCTACGCCCGAGCATTCAGTTTCATGCCAGTCCTCGCAGACAATGTCCAGCATGCCAGTATGCGTGATCATCGCCCCTGGACTCATAAGACGCAGGCCGGACGTGACACTGGCAGCATTCAGCGACTCGGAGATGAATTGCCTGCTGCGTTTTCGCAGGAGCGCCGGTGCACATGCGCAAGACGGGCAAGAGATGCATAGAAGCTAGAGATGCGTAGAACTCTACTTCAAGTTCATCAGTGCAGTAGACCCTTCTCTCGGAGCTCCTGCTGAGATGATGCTAGCTATCGCACTTCCATCTTGTATCTCGCAAACCATATCCGCAGTTGCATCACGGCCTATATGCCTTGCCGCAACGGCATGCCCGGGAAGATGCATGAAGATCTGCGCGGTCAACGGTGGCAATAGCTCGTAACCTCGTGCAATAAACGTGCAATCATTTCAGCATATGGAATGTACAAGCTGTTTTGCCGGTCTGCGTTGAGGGGTTCTGTTGCGTGCACACGTAAAGTCACAGGCGGTAAACCGGGGGGGTGCCGGATACACACGATGTTCGGGTGTTCGGGCCTCGTCATAACTTGACCGACACTGGAGGATCAAGGCGGTCACTGATAGTGCCAGTTTCAGAAGGCGCGCCTTGCACGCCACGAGTCGCTGGTGGTCGACCGGCGAGGTTGACAAGCTGTGCAGGAAGCTAGTTAAACACGCCTATAGCCTATCCAGGAGGCAAAAGACGAGCTAGCATATGTAAAAGGAGGTCCTACTGCCTGACAGTGACCTGTGTCGGAATCTAGGCCGCCGAAGAATATGAACTGGGCAAGGTTTGCTGGTGGAGTGCCGCTGAGAGGATTTAAAGCTCAGTAGACAGGCTTCCGCGATAGAACATCCTCGGAACCCACCCTCCGTCATGTCAAGATTACCGCCAGTAGACATCGAATGTAGGTCCAGAAACCTTGAGACGCGACTCCGTGTACTCATCCACTTCGCTCTTCTAGACGCACTGCCGCACAGTGTCGAGAACCTACGACAAGGATGGGTCACCACCTTGCAGAGCGGCGCAGTGGTGGTAAGTCTTGTTGAGGCGTGAAATGGCCTCACTACTCTATGCTGACAAGTTTGTGCTTCTCAGTCAGGCTTGCTCGCAGCTGTAGAGGCACAGCTTCTGGTCTTCTACAACGACCCACAGAATTTCGTCGATCCTGGACCCAATTCCACGACGCAGACCGCCGTCAAGATTTTGACATATGTGGCCTTGATATGCAGCATCAGCGCGACGATGAGCTCTCTCTTGCTCACTGATGAGTTCGGAGAGATGTCGACGCGCTCAGCTCGCTACAGGGACAGGCGAACAGAAGGCGGTAAATTTGCTGGAACAGATTGGAACATGCTCAGGTCGTACCGCATCAGAGCAGGGACAAGACCTGTCATTTACCACTGTGAGCACCGTCAGGGCGTGTCAGTAAAACTTCATCGCTAATATCCGGCAAACGTGCAGGGATCGTATGCTTGCTCACTGCCTGCTTATGTACGATCGCTTCGACTGCAGCATATGTTGGCACGCAAGAACCCTTGACTACTAGGATAATCATATTCGCTGTAGCCGGTTTGTCTGCGTTGCCTTTGTGTTGGTTTGCTTTTCCCGCCTGAAAACAGAAGAACGCACGTCTTGTGAACGCGTCTCCAGTTATTTAATCCCTTGTTTTGTCAGTATAACGTACACTGTCTGTCTCATCGAAGGCTAGTTTGGGCCCCAGCTACAAGGCCGTCTTCTGTGGCATGCGATTCCTGCTGCGGGGAAGCAAACTTGAGAGGGAAATGCATTCCATTAGGCCAGAACAAATACAATATGACGGATAGAGCAAAGTCTACATGGCACCATGAGAATAATCCCTGCTTGAAAGATGAAGAAACTTACAACGGGACCATTCATAGTTCGTCGTGAGGGGCGGAGTCTGTAGCTGTAGCAGACGCCGTTGCCTCGTCCGGTAGAATGGAACTTGCCAGTGAGGCAACATTAGACAAGGGCGTGCCCTCTTCTGGCGTCTCACTCGCCGCACCAGTGCTTGCAGCGACGGCGGTTACAGCGCTGGCCAAGGCGGTACTTGCAGTTGTGCTGACGGCCACCAACGTTGTGGATAGAGCACTAGATTCTCGAGGCGCGGTCTCGACGGCGGATAACAACGAGGATACCAGCCGCGAGTCCAGCTTCGATGCAGTCCGCTCGCCTGACAGGGCGGGAATAAAGCGCGTCCAGAAGAAGGCGATGCGCAACCCCCGATCGAGGATGCGTTGTTTCAGGATGAAGAGTACGACTAACAAGAAGAACGCAAGGGCGGCTAGTATAAGGAGGCGGTCCATCCAGTCGGTCTTCTCAAGCGCGGTAATGAGCTGCTTCGAAGTGCCGAGGAGGTTCGTCAGAACGTCGTGAGTGTCCGCCGTTGACTTCAATGATGCCGTAGAAGACTCTGTACAGAAGCTTGGTCAGAAAATGCTCCAATAAGTCATCGGAAATGAAGTACCAAGCATCTGCGCCGAAAGGACCGAGCGCTCTAGCTCGCCTTGCATCAGAGCGAGAGTGCATCGCATAGCGTCGGTAACGTCGTTGTTGGCCTTCATCAGCGCATCCTCACTAGCAAGACATTAGCAGATTGGCTGGGAGAGACAGACTAGTCGAAACATACGTGATTTTGCCTTCCGATGTTTGTTGCGTAGTGTTGCGCATAACGGCGGAACGTAGAAGCTCTTCGCGTTTAGAAGCTGTTGCGGTGTCGATTGCGCGCTTGGAGGCGAGAAGCGCCGCACGTGAGTCTTTCCTCAAGCTATGCAAGTATGAGCGCGACTATAACAGGGTCTGGGAGCTTATGTACCGGGCCATATCCCCACGAAGTTCCTCCACGACAGCCTTGAGCTCTCGTTGGGCGCGGTCACCTCTTTGGTCCTCGGACAAGTCGTCAAGTTCCTACTAGACCGCAGGTTACGATAGTTTCCACGTCATTTCACATTCGCGCACCTCCACCAGCCGCCCTAAGGTCTCAAGGTCTTCTTGCAGTTCCGCATTATATTGTTGCTGCACAGCCAGCGATTCTTTGCAATCGCGTAATCGTGGAATTTGATGCTCTCTGACATCCACGACACGTCTCTGTATCGATGTAAATGCCGCAGCTGCAGTCGAGTCGTAGGCTGGTGGTAGGGGTGCCATTGCGTATTGCCGACGTGAGGGTTACAGGCAACGTGTGATCAGTCGCGTCGCGTCGTTGTTGATCACACGTTGTCACGCGCCAGACGCGTCTCGCGTCGCGAACTCGGCGGCGTCTTTGCCTCAAGCCTCCACCTGCGCCGTATTGCCATGGCCGGAAATCCACCGAGAGTGCCGGCAGGACAGCAAGGTTTAAACCTGAACGAATATTGGGCGCGCTATCAAGCTGAAATGGCTGCTGCAGCGGCCGCTGGTTCTGCTGGACCCCGTCCGACACCGGCCCAACTCCAACAGCAGCAGCAGATAGCAGCTCAGACACAACATGCCCACGCTCATGCCAGAGCGCCACCTTTAGCTCACGTATGCGATCTGATGACTTTGATTCGCGTTAAGCGCTGAAACCTTGATCGCATTTTCCAGGGCTCTCCTATAGACAATCGTAATCCCCGCGTCAATACCCAGGTCTATCACGGTCCACCGCCACCTCAACCCATTTCGCCACTTGGGCCCTATCCAGGACAATATCCTGTATACGGATACGGACCGCCCGCTCCCGTGGATATTTCTACCGTCGTCCATCAATCTATCCAGGCTATCATGGGCCCCGCACTCGCTCAGCAACAAGAAATGCTCACCAAGCTCACCACGACAGTCGTCGCTGACGTCAAGAAGATCCACGAGGAGACACGGAACGAGCAGATGCAAAATCGGAAAGTGCTCGATGCGGTCGCGAATGAGGTGGAGAAGGAGCGGAAATCTCTGGAGCTCGCCAGCATTTCGATTTCTGGGCGGCTGGACATTCTCGAGAAGGCCATTGGACTGAAACCGAATGGAGAAGGAAATGCCGGGCTAGCAGCGCGATTGGATGAACTAGAGCATTCGATAGGCGAGTTGCGCGAATCCATGGGTGACCCCCAAGCGCCAATAGGTCAGCGATTACGTTACGTTGTGCATGTCGTGCATTGAATGACGCTCTGCAGAAGTACCCGCACCTCCGCCACCAGCCCCGGTCACCCACGAGATGGGTACTGATCCAGTACCGGAATTAGTGCAATCAAGTGAGTGCTATATACGCGCTTTCTGCAAAAATTCCTGATGTCCATATAGCAACTGAGGCGCGCTGGACGTCAATGTTCCGTAAGTTATGATTCTGTCGACTTGCAACCTTTCCTGACGACATATTAGCGCTCACCAATGGTGCCTTTCCCTATCCAGGTAAGCGCATGCTGTATCTGGGTCAGCCACTCCGGTCGCTCACACTTCCTCACAGGCCAGTCCCCTCATGTTTATACGGGGAATGCACCACAACTTCAACCTGCCAGGTGGCCTGACGCTTCTTCCCGTGGGTTTCATGCTCCATTGTCAGAAGACGAAGATCCTCACCTCCTCTCCAGGCGGTTCCCCTGCTCTGCGAACGCCAGTTGCCGGGCCGAGTACTCTCCCGGCGACCCAAGCATCGTCTCGCGACTCGTCTGTTGTGCGAGAGCAGCTCTCTCCCGCGTCGACGGTCATAGACGGCGATATGACACTCCTCGATGAACAATCCAGTCAACTCGCTACGCACAAATCTTCGGGGATTGTGGCCTCTTCCGTCTCTCCACGAGAGCTCACCCTCGATCCGGAGGCGATGCGAGCAATCAGACAGAGCCAGACTCAGGCAGAGGCTAGATCTGAAGTGCTTGATGCTCCATCTCCCTTGAGCGAGCTCACAGAGGACGAGGATGTGCGAGTGAAGGTCAAAAAGGAGAAGGCGGCGGCACCTGCTAGAAAAGCTCAACATCTTCGCCCGCTCACTGATTCAGCTTCCGCCCCTTTGCCAATGCGTCTCAAGCGTGAACGTGACGACACTACCTCCCAGCCATCACGCAAGCGCTCGCGACAGTCGCTTGCCCCAAGTCAGTCTACGCTGCAGTTATCTCTCCGTTGGCCGAAGATTCCGAAGGACGCCAAGAGCGACGAAACCTTCTTTCGTACATTCATCACTTGCGAGGGGTAAGATCACACTCTATCTAAGACGTTCCCAGCAGGCACTCATCGACCTTACGCAGCTGCAAAAAGTGGTACCATTTCGGCTGTGTCGGAATAGGGAAAGGCGACGAACGGATAAAGGAGAACTCCGACGTAACGTTCTTATGCCCGCCCTGCGAGCTTTTACCGTGAGTTATACGCATTTACAAACGTGCAATCTCAGGCTGATCGTCATCCTCTCAGCGCCCATCGTACGTAGTGCTATATTGGCGTCTGACTTTCATCTCGGCTTGTTGACTGATCACCTATCGCAGAACGGCCAGCTCCACACCACACGGGCCGCAATAAGACGGTTTGCCAGCGTCCTGGCTGCCCCAAGCCGAAAGCTACGAACGGTCTGGAGTTCTTCGTTGAGAAGTTGGTCGCGCGTAAGCCAGATAAGCAGCGGCCAGGCGAATATCTCTGGCTTGTAGAATGGGCTGGGTACGTTCTATTCACCTCTTACTTCTCATCGCCGCTCATTGCGGCTCGTAGATATCCCATCGAACAGTGTACCTGGCAACATGAGGAAGACATGGGCGATAGTCCGACGCTCATTCGTGAGTTTGTCGCCGAGGCTACAAAGGAGGGGAAGACTTTGTTGGCCGACGAACATGTTTATCTCGATGTGGCAGCTGCTCACTGGCAGAGATAAGCTCTTCCTCAAGGTCTCGCCCCCCTATACCTCTTGTACAATTCATCCAGTTAGGCTTTAATCGTTACGATTACATTCTCATTCTCTCGATCTTAGCATACTCTTTTCTCCGCCGACCAGGTGCCTGCGGCCTTATTTCCTGTAACATCGCCTATCCTCCCGTTTCCATAATCCTTTCACTACGCACGCTATATTCGAATACCATCCTGCTCTTACTGTACTGTGATACGGTTGAACATGCATCGCAGTCGCGAATGACGATTTGTCGGCTTCCCGGGCCGGGAGCCGTGCCACGCTGTGCTCGGCAAACGTTTCTCTCCTACGGCCACCATCCTGCCTGCCCCCGAGTGCATGACCGACCACCTGCTTCATACGCGCTTTCATGACCGTCTGCGTGAGAGCCAACGAAGATGCGCTGACTCCGACGGAGCGGGACGGAGCGCTGGTAGCGATCGTCTATTCGGATTATTGCTCGTCATTTGCGGCATCCCTTCCGCTGTACGATTCTTCACTGTGATGGATACTACAATCCCTTTTGGTCCCATGTGCCAGATAAGACGGAGAATTTTTTCTCCATGGAGTGCAGCAGCGAGGCACTGAGAGCAAGGTAGCTCTCAGACCAGGCTACCGTCTCCGCGGTCTTCTTCAAGGACGTAACGAAACACCTACGCTTCCTGAATTGGTATGTATAGCGGTTCTTTTTATTCCTTCTTGCGGTCTAGAAACCATCTATCCCAGATACTGTCTCCTCACTAAGGGTCTCAGGCCGCCGACTGAGTGACGAATGAATTCGTTCATGATAGTCCGACTGGCAAGACGCGTCGTGTACCGCGCGTGTATTGTCGAACCGTATAGTCTCTGCGAGGTCTTCACAAGGCATGATCTCCGTCACCAGGGGTCAGTCGGGTGTGCTCTAGACACTCATGTATGGCGAGTGACCACGACATGAACACGATGCTCATCTGGATACCTTCTTGCATATACGCGGGGAGCGCCCCGCTCCCTCTGTGATTCCTGTGGTCCCCTCACGTTCGGACTCGCCCCGGCATTCCAACTATCATTGGTGCCATCAAAGCCATGCCTATCAGAGCGACTATCACGCAGTTCAGGGCTAAGCTGTGTCGTATCAAGAGGGATTACCGCTGCCAATCTTTCGACACCGTGAAGATCTGCCGCCTCCTTAGAGACGACTTGAAGCTCGATCCTGATGGTGCGGAGTACCTCTAGTACGTCTATACTTCTTTGTCTTTCTTCACACAATACTCACGTACCTCATAGCGTCGAGAGTCTCGCCTGCGCTGCCCTCGCTTCTGCTGTGTCAGACGAATCAGATGCGCAGCCCGCCTTCGAGGCCTTCCGTTTAGCCGTGAAGCAATTGAAGGACAGGATGGATGTTGAAGGCATCCATAAGCTGGAAAAGGCGTGAGTCACCCGCTCTACCCTTTTGATTTAGTAGGCATTAACTCACTCGCAGTCCTCGTATATAAAGAGTGCAAAGCGCTAGTCATAGGGCAGTGAAGGACAGAGAAGCTCTGCAAAAGGCTCAAGTTGTGTACGATGAAGCAAAGGTTTGCGGTCGACCAAGACATTTGTTCTCGACACACCTCAATCTGACCGACTACCTAGCGGCGCGCAGATGAAGCTGCAGAGAAAGAGCGCCTTGCAAATGAGGCTGCTGCAAGAGAAGCTGCTGCAAGAGGGACTGCTTCCAGAGATACCGGATCAGATGCTACCCGGAAAGACAACAGTACAACCTCCAGATGCCAGCTCGTTGATTTCGCTGTCGCGCCTTCTTTCCCGTCGCCCGAATTCTTCGATCGACCCTTGCCGGATCCTCCTTCCTTGAACAGATTCATCGCGAAGTTAAACCGTGCGTGCAGCGACGCTACCTGCCCCCACATTCCTCACACTTTCACAGTCACGGTGAACCCGAGCATAACCATACCAGAACTTCTTTTTCGATTCCAACGCAAGTATCGTGCAGCGAAGCTCGAGACACATCTTTTCCCCCTCAAGTTCATCAAGTGCCCAAACTTCTACGCCGAGTCTGCGCTCCTGAATCTCAACTTGACAAACGCTCAGCCGTTACGTAACGAAGAACTTAGGCGCGCCATCGCCGACAGGATGCCTATATGGGTATATGGAGACCGCCCAGGCAACGCCTATCAGCTTGAGCGGCCGTCCTCTCCCCACTCGTGGCCGTTTGGTCGAGTGCGCAGCGTCAGCATTGTACCGCCCTCTATCGCAGGCGAACAGCCAATATGGGTATTCCGAGGTGCGTTGCAGCAAGATAATTGGCAGTGACACTCCGCTCACGAGACACACCGCTAGATCTACAAGGACAACTTACGCCCAGCCACTCTATCTTCCGTGCGGACTTCTCTCCAGGACACTTCGAACGCATGTCTACAGGTCAAAGGATATATCGCAACGAGGACCAACAACTCTGGATCGGAGTAAGTGGCACGAACGCAGATCTCTGTTGCAAGTTGTGCTTACAGGTGTTCACAGCCGATTCGGACGCCCCGTGAACCATGTCCTGAGCCTTCCAGTGCCGCCCTGCTGCCTCCACATCAACTTCTCGCCGCCCCCGACACCTCGACATCGTTTCAAGACCACGCTGGGGTCCTACATCATATCATTGAGGAAGTCGACTTCGCACCGCGCCCTTCTGCCCCGCTCTTCCAGGAACCTCTCACTGCTTCTGGTCGTAGTCCTCAGCTGCCGGAGTTGAGCGATCTTCCGAGCCCAAGATTGTCGGGGCTCACAACCCTACGTTCGCCTTCGCCCCTTCAGGGCTCGTCCATGCAGCCCGCGTTCCCTGAGCCAGCGTTGGCGCCATCACAGCTTACACATGCTCTCGGATACCAATCTCCGCCTACGCTCCCGATGCCCTCACCGTCTATCCCGCCCATTGAGCGACCGCCGCCACATGCCGGTGTTGGCTCAAGCGGAGCGCGCGGTGTCAGATTACCGCCATCTATCCTCCATGGTTTACCTTTGCCAAACGTGCCTGCGCAGTATGCCGTCTCGCCGCCAATATCTTCCTCAAGCGCGTATTCTCTAAGCTCTGCAAGCGACACGCGCGTGCAACCCCCTTCTCCACCCCCGTCTTCTACATCTTCATCGTCAATAGCATCAATCCCTCCATTGCCTGCTCTTACGCGCGGGAGCACCTCGACATTGAGCGACGCCCTAGACGACGAGTCTGAGGTCCTGAGTCCTGTATCAGCGGCATCGCCTACCCTGTCCGCGCCGGGTGCAACGACGTTCGGCCCCATGCCACATCCTGCACCGTCTCGTACACCGCCTGCGAGAGAGCTGTCGCCAGGACCCGCACCTAAAAAACCGGCGAAGGTTGGCGTATGGTCGCGCGTCAAGTCATTCTACACGTCTGTGTTCCAGGCAGCCGCTCAAGAGACGGGGCAAGGAAACGGTCAACGTATGCCTGGGACGTTATGGGGATGACGAAAGTTCTGTAGTCGGATGACTAGTTACTATACTTGCACTCCTTGCCACTCTTGGCCTCATGTTGACTTCGTCGACGCCCGATAGCACAGATGAATGTGATCTAGTTCATTTTCCGGTTATGCAGATGGTAAATGTACAAAGCGGTACAAAGCAGTGGTGTCCACGGCCGAAGCATTTTACTTGTAGAGCTTGGAGACGTGCTCGTAGAAGCTCTTGCCCTGGATCGTAGCGATCTCGAGCTCAAGAGCCGACGGCTGCCTCGAGCCATCGCCACCAGCGAAGGTGCCAGCACCCCAGGGCGAGCCACCGTGGACCTCAGAGAGGTTGGTGAGCTGAGCGAACGCGTTGGCGTAGCCGAGCGGGACGTAAGAGATGCCGTGGTGGGCGAATGTGCTCATCGCAGCGACAGCGGTAGCTGTAGATTCACACAATGGTCAGAGCATCGCTCAAGAGAGATGAGCAAGGGGCACGTACACTCCTGGCCTCCACCGGGAGAAGCGGTCGAGATGAAGAGGCCGGCGCTCTTGCCAGCGAGCTTGCCGCCAGCCCAGAGCTGACCGGTAGCGTCCCAGAACGCCTACAGAACAATGTTAGATGATGTAATGTGAACGCATCCAGCGTTCTCACCTTGAACTGGGCAGGGAAGTTTCCGTAACGGGTAGGGATACCGAAGAGGAATGCATCGAAGTCGGCGAGCTGCGGATCATGCGGGTCAGCCATCAGTGCGACTGGGATGCACGTTGAATTCGTACGTCGTTGGGCGCGAGGACAGGGTACTCGGGCTTCGCGGGGGCGTGCATGAGCTTGAGAATGTCCTCGGGGAGCGTCTCCGCGACCCTAACAGTCGCATTGTTCAACATCACGCTCACGTGGGATCAACATAGCACGTACTGGTAGATGGTCGCCTTGCCGCCAGCAGCCTCGATACCGGCCTTCTCAGCCTCGGCCACTGCATGAGATGTCAGTTCCCGCACTGCACTCTCATAGCGATGAATGTACCCTTGGCGATGTGGCCGCTGCAGATTAGACGGATCAGATTCTGCGATGCGGGGAAGGCGACGTCATGATCACTTACTACATGGTGTAGATGACAATTGCGACGTTGGGGGCCATTGGAATAGATGGAAGTCGGTTGAACTGGGAGGATGTGTTCAGAAGAGGAGGATCCTGGGATGGGAGGTGTCGCTTTCCGAGGTCGGTCTTTTAAATGCCTACGGGACGCGTGCATCAACCGCCGAGGCCGCTCTGAGGATTCGACAGTCTTCGGGAACGTCCGAAGGTAGAAAGAACTTCCCACCCGCGGGAGTCGCGCGAACCTGGGCGCCTAAAGCGGAAAGGGGCGTACGGCTAGGTAAGGCTTCGCATAATCCCACTCTACAAACTTGCTGACACGGAAACAAATCGATGGGAATATTATGTGCGTATGTGGCAAGGCTAATGTAAGCATCAACGGGCTGAGGCCAGACAGTTGACCCTTCTTCCGGGCCGCAGATTCGATCATCAACGTATCAACGCTCGCTTTGCGCCTCTACACAGCGCTTGCAGGTGCTTTCTCGTCGAAATCCTCTGTGTCACGGTCGTCGCGCTACAGCCCCAGCACATCAGTCAGCGACCAGTGATTATACAACGGGGCGGTCACTCACGTTGACATACTGCACGGTGTCGATGTGAATCGACATCTCCCTAGCGTTGCCTCGCGAGCGGCTTCTACGGCCAAACTATAATACGCTGTATAAGCACAACCAATACCAAACCTGGCCGAACAACTCATAGCGCACCTGGCTCATCCTGACCATTCGGTCACGACGCGGCGGAGCAGCACCATCTAGGGCATAGACGCCGTTACCGTCGCTGGTCGTGGCAGCCGAGCGCTTAACCTTAGGCGCCGACCCATTCAATGCCGACAGCATCGAGGCGATGTACACTGAAACGCCCGAGTGAGTTACGGTCGGCGGTGATGCAGCTCGAACACAGAGAAGCGACGTACGTCTTCCCAAACAGAAGAAGAACGGTGCGTACACGAGCGTCTTCGGGCTTGCGACGAACTGTATGGTCACACCGTCAGGGTCACGACGTTTCGAGATATGAACTTGGTAATACGAACAGCAATGAGGGAGCCGAGTGCAGCGAGGCATGCAGGTGCGCCTGCATCTACAGCGTATGCGGTCTGTAGAAACACGGGTTACTTTCGGCGGATCAATGAACTTTATTCGGAAGACGTACGATACGATGAAGTGGGGAACGATAACGCCTAGCAGATGACAGCGGTCAGGTCAGGCAGATGACGACCTGATTTGTACGCACGATTTGAGACGTGTTGGCTGTACATGAAGCAGGGCGATGTAAGCGCAAAAGATGGCACCAGATGCGGCCACGAAGGCGACATTGGAACCAAGGAACCATTCCTAAATATATATGAGCGAGGATCAGAGGAGCATTCTGGACTTTTCGCACCTTCACTGAGTCCAACTCGGCGAACGAATGCATCGGCATACTATACGGAGCCATCAATACGAGTCCAGAAGTTGACAAGAGCACCCTTACGCCTTGGCACAGAAAACTGCAAAAGTATGGTTTAGCCGCGTGGACACCTGGAGGCCTAGTCGGTTCGGACTTACCGATGGAGAGTACAAGTTCCGCCACTACCAAACAGGACAGAGCGCCAACGAGAATCAAGTTCTCACTCACTGCGGAATGGTATGAGCTCAATACATGCCGCGTGAGAAGAACCATACTGGAGTATACGCGTGTCAGATACCATATGTGCGCACAGAATGCGAGCACACCCTATGCGTCGTCAGTAACGCGATGTGGCGGAAGACGCAAGGCTTGCACTCACGGTGACAAGTACCTCCATCTGTCACAATGGCTTCAGCCGCAAGCATGCAGAGATAAGGGCTTGATACGCACGATGACAGTCCTGGAAGCTCATGTGAGTGCTTGCACGCATGGAGCAATTGGTGAAATGAACGTACCAGATGGTCCGTTGGAGATGTGGGAGGTTGAAGGGATTCGAGATGAGGTATCGATACACTATAGGCCGTCTTTCAGTGCAAAGGCCGAGATCACCGCTACGATAACGCACAAGCATGACTGATGAATATTTGGTGGGTGCACTCCAGACACCAGACAGAGAGTACCTTTGAGAAGTATTGAGTACAAACCTGGACCTTCGTTGTAGGCATGAAACTCACAAGGAATCGCAACCATAGAGGGTCTGCCCATGATCGTGATCGGACATATGAGAACGCTTGCACCGTCGTGACTGCCTTGCGGTGAGCAGAAGTTCACTGGAAGACGATCGGTGTGACGCACCTCCAAACATCAACGAGCCAAATAATACGCCGATATAGTACGCCCCCATCCTGCACGGTGTCAGGACACGCTCAATGTGCATGCTCGACAAAGTACGTACGTTTCGTCAAGCTTCGGAACCGTCATTGCGAGTGTGAGTTTCAAGTTAGGAACCGCCAGAAGTCGGTCCATCGTGAGTCAGAGTACAATCAGGTTAGGGTATCAAGCAAGGAGGGTCGGGGCTGCAGTCGACACAGACAGCAAACGAGGGGGCGGGGCACGGGCGCGGAGTAAGCAAAAAGCGGGGCCAACTCTCCATTTCACGGTCCGGACTATAAGTTGTATCCACGCCCACCGGAGCCCTTGTTCAATTTCCAGCACGGGGCAGGCGCGTGCATCAAGAAAACCATAACAACCTCCGCTGGGCGTGCGGGCAAAGATGTAAGAAGCGCGCGGAGATGAAGCCAGAAGACGTGAGTGAAGGGGAATGGAGGAGCTGCGGCTGCCCCTTCGGGAATAAGGGCGTGTACGCGTTCGGTCCAACACGGCTTGCAAGCTCGTTCTTCAGATAGACTATACGCATTTCAGGGTCCGCGGACGTAGTCCAAGCTACGAGAGTTCCTAGATAGCAAGTGGCCTACAGTCCATCTTTCCTTTCTTCGCGTTTCGCGGGCTCTACGGAGTCGGGTTCCGACGCGACAGGCGGGCAACTCTTGAATTAAACAGCATTACGTCTCGTACCCATATTTTCGGGCAGGTTGTTAGCCGAAGGTCGGAAGCACGTTCCCGCCGTGAATTGCAATTGAAGTAAACTGCGCTCCGAGGAGAGAAGATGACTTGGGTGGGCTTGAGAACATCGAGGGACGGGTCAAATGTCAACTTGCGTGGCGCGCGCTGATCCCGACGGCGGTGGATGCGCGCCTCCGCTTCAGACCACCACCTCGGTTTAGCGCTCAACTTGTTTTTGGAATTTGGAACGCAGCTGCATTTATGTCAACGGATCCGTACCATGCCGTGCAGTCAGAGATAGCTGGCTCGCTGCAGGCCGCGGAGCAGTTGCGAGCGTCGTACGTCCGGATTCGGAGTACTGCCCGCGGTGGGAGCGAAGAGCTCGAGTGGGCGCGGAACGAGGTGCGCGAATCCGCGCCCATGTCGCGTAGAATGTGTTTCATGTGTCACCGGCTGTAATGTAGCTCAAGGCGACTCTCGCGGCCCTAGAGGCAGACCTCGAGGATCTTGATGAAAGTGTCAAGTGCGTACAAGGATATTCTGGTACTGCAACTGGCAACTCATGTATCCCTTGAAGGATTGTGGAGAGTACTGGCGCGCGGATGTTCGGGCTTGAGGAGGCTGAGGTCATGCAGAGGCGGCGTTATGTAGAACATGTCCGGGAAGTACTCGAGGTGCGTGGTGCGTACACTATTTCTCCAGCCAATGAGCATGTCCTGACACTTCCTTTGTAGACCTTGAACGCCGAAGTAGAGGGTAGAGCGCCGCCAAACAAGGTATTGTTGCTCCTTGACGCGTCGGGACGTACGCTGAATAGTGCTCAGTCGCGACAACCCATATCCCCTGCTGCACAACCCAGCTCGCCAGCTCCAGAAGACGACCAAGCACAATGGACTCGGGAAGAGCAGATGGTATGCACCAGAGATACGTTCCAGTCAGCGCAACTGACGCTGTACTCGCAGATGATCATGCGGCAGCAGGATGAGACTCTGGATACTATAGGTGGCACCTTGACAACCATCCAGCAACAAGCCGGACTCATCGGACAGGAAGTCAATGAACACAACGTGTATGTTCACAGCCCTTGCTCTCTCATCGTGATACTGATGGGCTTCAGGATGTTATCGGACGTCGAGCGCGGGGTAGACCGAACTGATAGTAAACTGAACGACGCCATGACGAAGATGAAGAAGTTCATCCGGGATACTGAAGGTCAGTGAACTTAAGCACAGGTCGCCGCATGTGCTAATCAGCGAGCAGAAACGAAGTCGGGCTGGTGCATCGGCATCCTAATCTTCATCTTGCTCTGTCTACTCGTCGCTGTGATCTTTATCTGAGGGACTTGTGTTACTGATTGTGCTCTTTGGACGGACGAACTCGGACCTGTATGCTACGTTATATCTGCCATTGGATAATATGCTACCTTGAACTTCCTGCGATTTGGTCGTTCATCACGCAACCGCGCACGCCGGATGCTCACCATCATTCACGAGATGTGTGGATGATGCTCGGTGCTCTCGGTTCGGCAATCTACTCTCCTGGTTCCTCTCCTCTTCCCGCTTATCAGACCGGCCAGCCGCTGGCATGTGCTCATCGTACAGATCCCTGAACACCCAGGGGTACGCGCCGATACAGCGATAAGGAGGCGCTTTACATTTGATGTGGTATACAACAGAGCATTACAGGGTATACGGATCCCTTCAACCGTACATTATTCAAGAGGCCCAAACTGGAGACGTTGGAATCGCGACGCGGACGGCGCCGCGCGCTCAAAGCGAGCGAGGCACATTCATGCCGGGGCCTCCGGCGGCGGACGTGAGGCTCGCGCCCGTGCCATAGCCCTCAGCGGAGTGAGGATCGGTGAGGCCAAGCTCCTGCTTCGCTGCGAGGTTCGTGCCCGTACGTTCCTCGGGGGCCATCGTGGTGGGATCAAGCTTCTCGCCATGAGCGTGCTCGTGGTGGTGAACGCCTGTGAGTGCATCTCTATAGTACGCGTCTCAGAATCGAATCGGTGACGAGCAGATGTAAAAACGTACTTGACTTTGTGCAGGAAGCCGGGCTTGTGCTCCTCCTTGTGCTCCGTAGCCGCAGCGACCGGTGTGGATGTGGTCTCAGCGGAGGGCGCGGGCGCTCCGGTGGTAGCGGGCGCCTCGGTGCGGGGGATCTCCTCGATGCCAGACATGATGTGAGGTAGGGGAAGCGAGAGAAGAGGTGTGAAGCTCGTGGTGGTAAGCTGGTGGTGAGATGCGAGTAGTTGTGAGTTGTGAGCTGTGGTTGTGGAGTAGCAGATAAGGCAGATCGACGCAATGTTATATACACGGACCTTAACTCGTCCCGGATGTCCCGCGTAGCCGTACCCCGCACAAGCTCCTTGGCCGTGCCGAGGCCGCAGCCAGTAGTATGAGGCCAGCGGATCACGTCATAGATATTCGGGCCTTGAGAGCACGCGCAACTTCTACTACAGTCTATGAAAGTCCCTGCTTAGCGCGACGGATGAGCGATAACATCATGGTTCCTTGGCTGGATGCAAGGCACGACAGACGAGGCGCGCGATGGAGAAGGCGAGACTCAACGCGCAAACAAGACCTACAGGGGGCGAATAACGAATATTCGAGTAGGTCGAGGATAATGCTCAAGAAGACTCCAGGATCGCAGAGGATACTCAGTCGCTTCTGTGATGAGATGCCCCGCCAGACAGCATGAACCGGTGCTAAAGACATCACGCGCGTACGTCTGATGTGTACACGATCCGGTAGCGAATATGTACCAGCGATTCTGCGCTCACAGGCAGAAGCTCAGGGGACGCGAGATAGCGTCATGGCACCCAAAAGATCATCTGCATGGAGACGCGCTCAGCGCTCAAAGGCGGTGCGAAGAAGTCGTGAGGATGGCTGAGCGTTATGCGGGCGTAAGATTGGGCCTCCTCATGCCGTGTCTATAGAGAAGGGTGCCCTGCAGGGCGCAAACAAGTAGAATGTGGTGGAGTAAAGTCTCAACAGACATGGGAGGAGGTCCTTAGTCGTGATCAGACTTTACCTGGCTCCGACCGAGAGCCGAGAGCAGTGATGGCACCCACTTCGCCACAGCTTGTCGCTGACGACGGCTGGGTAAATCAAGTCGTCGCCCGATCCCAGTGAAGAGATGGAAGGAGGAGAGAGTTCAATGCATCGTCGTGGGTGTGCTGAGAAGAACACCGGTATGTGCTGCTACTACGAGCGTGGTGTGGCGCGACGCGAGTCTGCACCCGAAACAGTGCCCTTGCAGCTGATTCCGGTCATTTCTTCATGCCTGCACACATCCGATGTGCCCGATCTTCGCAAGAAAACATGTATCCCAACTCATGCCGAGCTGGAGCACTTCCTGGTCGTACGCAGACATACGTATGGAAAAGATGATGATAGTCCGTAAGCAAGTCGAAATGTCGAGAAGAAGACGCAGATGCGGTAAGGAACGCGCACGACGCATCATCTGCAGGCACGCTCTCACGGAAGCTGTGGCTCTCCAAAAATGGATCGTGTCTCATTGTCTCTTCGCCTTGTCTCGTCGGGCGCGAATTGGCGACCTGCTACCGCCGGCAGGGGTCGACGCAGGAGACGACGTAGAGCCCAGAGTAAACTGGCGCCAGTGACAGTTGGGAAATGGAGTACTTAGCAGAAAGTTCCCCTCCGTTGACATTGCCGCTGCGCAGACGCTGAAAGCCAAATCGACGTCCGACTCCGATGATTGAACGGATTTTGAACGGGTCAAACGAACAGCGGGATGACATCGACGCGTGAACGATTAAACAGCCACGAATATTTTTCAATCCAGCACCAGCTGCCAGTGCGCTCTTGGCTATGCGCTAGCGCGAGACCCGTCTCGAGCGTCGGACTGGAGACGAGAGCGGAAGAGTACGAAGGCGATCCAACCTTAGACAGCTTTAGAGGGTCCAAAATCGTCACGAACTGTCAACGGGTGGTGCTTTGACGTCACGTACCCGCGACAATCGAACCGCGAAAGCTTGTCTGCGATCCCTTCAAGAACAACGCACCTTAGTCGCCCACCCTCGTCTCTCCTTTCCCCCTCCGCCCAAGATGTGCGTTCGTCTATCAGGAAGTAGCTCAGATATATTCTGACTGCTATACAGGTCGTCCGTCAGCGCCTCGACGGCGAATTCGTCGACGTCGTCGACGTTCGTGACGTCTTTGGTCTTCAACGCGGCGATTTTCGCTGCGGAAATCCTCGCGTACACCATCCTCAGGCGATACTTCAAGCTCATCTACGAGCCGCGCTCGCTCTCTGTGCTTGACTAGTGCGTGTGGCCCGCTTCTCTCGCGTGTCTAACGGCCACGCTAATCACTCGCGAACCCTGACAGTAAGCGCCAGAAACCTCTCTCTTCCCACATCCTCGGGTGGCCCATCTCACTATGGAAAGCGGACTACCGCGATATCAAGAACATCAATGGACTCGACGCTTACTTCTTTGTGCGCTTCTTGCGTATGATGATTCGCATCCTCATCGTTATCTGGCCGGTCTCTTGGGCAATCCTCCTCCCTATCACCTCTGTTGGCACGTCAGTCAGTAACGACGGCTTGACCAAGTTCACTTTCGGCAATATTGCACCCAACGTCCAGTCACGGTACTGGGCTCATCTCGTCTGCGCATGGGCCTTCACTTGTACGAGCTTTACTCTTCAATGACCGGATTCAGTCTGACGTATCCCTCGCAGGGTGGATCATGTGGAACCTCAAGCACGAGTACGCGCACTTTATCAGCGTCCGCCAGCATTTCCTCGTCAGTCCAGCGCACTCGTCTACTGCTCAAGCACGCACCGTTCTGGTCACCGGCATTCCGCCCAAATACCTCTCCGAGTCAGCTATGACTAAGCTCTTTGCGCATCTCCCTGGCGGTGTCGAGCGCGTCTGGCTGAACCGCGATCTTGGCGACATTCCCGACCTCTATAATCGCAACCTTGCCGCTTGCAAGAAGCTCGAGTCGGCGGAGACTAAGATCATCAACCTCGCGACCAAGAACTATGGCAAGCGCACCAAGAAGGCTGCCAAGTCCAAGAAGAGCGAGAATGAGTCCACCACCGGCCTTACCAAGCCCAACAGTTCCGACCCCGAGGCTCTGCGTGCTCTCGTTGACGAGCTTGTCCCGGCTAAGAAGCGCCCCTCTCACCGCCTCAAGCCCTCTTGGGCACCTTTTGGGATCCCCTTCATGGGCAAGAAGGTCGACACGATCGAGTGGGCACGCGAGGAGATACGCGTCACGAACGAGGAGCTCAAGGAGAAGCGCGCTGTTTTGGCGAAGGATGTTCAGTATACGACCGAGCACGGCTCTTCGGCCGTTCACCGCACCATCGGCGTCGCCGGTCGCGAAGTCAACGTTCCGCAGGTTCACGTTCCCGGCATCAAGGCGATGAAGTGGGAGGATCAGACGTATCCGCCCGTCAACGGCGCGTTCATCCTGTTCCACAAGCAGATTGCCGCGCACATGGCCGTCCAGACCCTCAGTCATCATGCACCCTACCGTATGTCGCGCGAGAACAAGTCGCTCGAGGTCGAACCCGATGATATTATCTGGGATAACCTTGGAATGAACCCATACGAGCGCAAGGTTCGGACTGCTATCAGCTGGGCCGCAACGCTCGGTCTCATCATCTTCTGGAGTATCCCTGGTATGTCCCGCCGTCTCTTGTACATGCTCTTTAACTCATCTCAAACACTGTCTAGTTGCCTTCGTCGGTACGATCTCGAACATCCAGGCGCTCTGCACGACCTACTCCTGGCTTGCGTGGCTGTGCGATCTTCCGAAGGTCGTCATTGGTCTCATCCAGGGTGTCCTCCCCTCCGTCTTGCTTGCCGTATTGTTCATGTTGCTGCCTATCGTCCTTCGTCTTCTCGCACGCTTCGAGGGCGTCCCTCAGCGTACGGGCGTCGAACTCTCCCTGATGGACCGCTTCTTCATCTTCGAAGTCCTTGTACGTCGGCAATCTATCCATTCACCGCGTTTCATGTTAATTTTGGTTTCAGCACGGTTTCCTCATCGTGACGCTCTCGTCCGGTCTCATCAAGTCTGCGCCACAACTCATCAAGGACCCGACCGGTGTGCCATCCATCTTGGCGCACAATTTGCCCGGTGCTTCGACGTTCTTCCTCACGTATGTCGAAAAACATCAGATCTGACGATCGAACGTTGCTCACGCTTCTTTACAGCTACGTAATCCTGCAAGGCCTGTCGGGTACGGCTGGCGGCTTCCTGCGCATCGCCTCCCTGGTTCTCTACTACGTCAAGTTGTACATTCTGGGTTCTACTCCCCGCTCGGTCTACAAGATCAAGTATTCGCCCGTCGTGTCGAAATGGGGAACGCTCTTCCCGCAGACCTCGCTCATCGTCGTTATCACTCTTGGCTATATGGTCATCTCACCCATCATCAACGGTCTCGCCTGGGCGGCGTTCGTTCTCTTCTACTTCCTGTACAAGTACCTTTACACCTGGGTCAACGACCAGCCAGCAACAAGTGACACCGGAGGTCTCTTCTTCCCTAAGGCGCTTCAACAGGTCTTCGTCGGCCTTTATATCCAGCAGGTCTGCCTCTGCGCGCTGTTCTTCCTGGCGCAGGATGGCAACAAGAAGGCAAGCGCTATCCCGGAGGGTGCGCTCATGGTCGTCCTCATCGTTTTCACGGTATGTGTCGCAACGTCGGATATCCGTCCATTTACTCACAATTTGATAGGCGTTCTACAACTACATTCTCAACAACTCCTTCCGCCCGCTTATCAACTTTATTCCGCTCTCGATCGCGGACCGCTCCTACGACCCCGACAACGCCTCTCCCGAGGAGGCCCGGGAGGCCGCAGAAGCAAATGGCTTGACGGAAGCCGCTAAGGCCGAACACGACATCCGCTCGAAGGACTACGCTAACGGCTCACCGCGCGTCAATGGCTCCGTCGCATCCGGCAAGAGGAAGGATAGTGTATCCATCTCGTCCCCGCAGACCGCGAACAAAGTGCCGACGACCAGCGCCGATGCCGATGCCGCCGAGCGCGGCTCCTTTACCAACTCTCGCGCGTCGTCGCCTTCCCCTTCGGCGCAACCCGTCGATCACGAAGCCATTGCCAACGGTGTCGACTTCACGCATCCTGCCGCTGTCGAGCCTCAGCAGACCATCTGGCTGCCGCGTGATCCGCTTGGACTTGCGCTCGAGGCCGAGCGCTCCATCCGCGCGGACGGCATCGACGTCACGACCGAGGGCGCTGTCATGGATGCTAAAGGTCATGTCGACGTCAGCGCCGCCCCGCCTGAGGAGTCCCGCAAGAGCTCCGACTATGCTCGCGCCCGTAGTCTCGACTTCGATGACGAGGAGGAAGAACAGGTCCAAGGACGCGGATGGGGCTTGCATGACGGTCCTCACCGGTCGCCTGTGCCGCCTCAGCCTCCTCACGCTCGCCATGTTGAGCGCACGATGTCGTGAAGCGCTATTCATAGCGTGCGTGATACCTAAACCGATCAATCATCGATCTTGTCTGTCTCTTGTCCATACAGTGTTTCTGAATACCCGCCACCTACTACTTGCCATTCACTCTCTTCGTACCAATCATGAACTAGGGATACATCGACCCTTTTTACGAATCCTATACATTACAGTGCCACACCGTACGCAGTACCATAGTTTCCGCATTTGTTGTTACGACCCCTTTTCTCTGTTTGTAGCGTTGTATGATTAATCATCGATGAAGTTCAAAGCAGCACATGTTATCACACATCCGTCGCTACTTCTCAAGCGTTCGCCCGTACCCCTCCGGCGAGTACCGCGGGAGCAGGTCCTGGCAGTTCGCGATGAGGAAGGAGGGCAATACCGTACACCAGGCGTGGGCATGCGCTCGGCAGGACCACCGAAACTAGCCCAAAGTGGCGAGCGGCGCGAACTGATGCTTGACTGGGATCTGGCGTTCGCTCAATTGCCTATCCAAACACATCATGAGAGCGAGAAGCCCAATACATTGCACCCGTAGAGTAAGTTTGTTATACAGATGCGCCTCATCGCACAAGGAGGTTGGGCAGCACAGGTGAGGACTCTCCGTCGGACCTAAATCCGACGGGGGAATAATTTAACATAAATATAGGTAGGTATGATACAGATTCTATCATTGTGCGTGTTCGTGTGGATAGCGTGAGAGCCCGTAAGTAAGAAGCAATAGCGGTGTGATAGATACAGCGGCGTCAACGTCAAAGTCCCAAAGTCCAGGGGAGTGATGATAGGAACCAAAGCCTATAAAGTTACGATAAATATCGTGCAATAAGTAATGAGTGCGCAGATCGAAAGCGAAGGGGGAACCAGCCAAAGCGAATAAAGATAGAATAAGAAGATAGTGAGCGGTCGTGAGGTCGATCTTGAGTCGCGGACTTCGTTGAAGATGAAGTTCAGTGATTGTGTGGCCCGAGGCGCTCGCGCCTTGCCGGGGTTCGTGGGTGAGCGGGCTTACGCCAGCGCCCGGGTGAGCTGGAGAATGGGCATCCAGCTCCCGGAGCTAACGTGTACCACTCCTACGACGACAACGTCGGCGGGGACAATCCCTCCTGCCCCGATGCGCAATCGGGGTACGGGCTGTTCAGGGTCAGGCTCGGCCTCCTGCGGTGCACAACAATCAGCAAAGGGATATGGGCATAGCCCGCCGCGCCGCGCCACGGCGAGCGCATCGTCGCGGCGCACAGCAGTCGAGCTCAGTGAGACGGAGACGAACGCACCCTCAGATACTTGTCCACGGCGCGGCCGACGTGGCCTACAAGTCGCCGTAGCTGTATCCATTGTCCACTCTCCTGCGTCTGAAACTGACGCTTGCGGTCCGTGTATCCGTGAATCTAGATAGAGGCGCGCGTCAGCCGATTCGAGCGGGCGCGCGCACAGCATAGCATCCGAGCGCACCTTGATGTGCAGATGAATCGAACTGCGTCCGACGTCCACCGGTGCGTTCGCATTGTTGACTGCAAAGTTGCCAGACAGGATTTGCGGGAGTGGTAGGCCCACGCTCCCATCCGTGTGTACGAAGAACGTCGGCGGGCGCAGAACCGCCCGCACAACCTAATCGCATAATTCATCAGCAACTGCATCGAAGTACGTCTTTTGCTCGATGACACTTACGTGCTGGTCGTACACGCGCGGACTATTCGGCATCCACACCTCCTGTGGGACAACCGGTCCGCGCGTCTGGTCGATGATGCAGTCAAGCAGGATGACGGGTGCGCCATCTGCAGCCCGCCATCCATATGGAAGATGCGGAAGAACGCTTTGAGCGACGGTGTAAGCGCCAGTGCAGCCCGGTATCGAGAACATTAGCGGGATCTGCCCCAGCCCACACTTGAGAAACGCGCAGTAGGCCGTCTCGCCATAAGTACCAAACGTCGCAGCGATGTAGCCATGCCGGAGCATATGTTGAGGAACATTAGGCGGTTGCCCATACTGCTGTCCCGGCATCATCATAGGCATTTGCGACGGGACTATCATCGGCGGGACGGCGTATTGTTCTGCTTGTTGTGGGTAGTAGCTACCGCTGGGCTGGGGCTGCTGGCCGGGCTGCATGGCGGGCGGACGTGAACGCGAATTCTGCGAAGAGGAATTGGACGGAGAGTGTAGTGGATGAAGAAAGAGCTCCGCCACTGCCAGGTACCCAGCTTTATACCATCCCGATTAAAGCGCATCAGTTCCAGATCTCATTAAGACGACACAACGGCGACGCGTTCGGGAGCCACCTCATGGGCGTCTTGGCGATACACGTAGTCCCACAAACGTCTGCTAGCGATGGAACCGGTCGTTGCCTGCATTCGTAGCACATCTGTTCGCATCAGAGCATCTTGGCAGTCGAGAAGTACAGGAATTCAGTACGCGTGCCCGCAATGCTAGCCAAACTGAACGCTGTGTCCACCCGCTCTGAGAAGCCGTTCGCATCTGGCTGGCTCGCGATTTGCCGTCCCTTAGGTCGCAGCGATACGGTGATCGCAGTTTTAGGTCGCGTGTATGGCGAGGGCTGAATACAGCCAGAATTGACGGAGGCACCGGCGCGCTCTATGGCTCATCGCTTTGCGCATCGCCACAGGTCCTTTTTGACGATCACATACACTTAAACCACCAGAATCGGAAGAATTGATCCCACCGTCAGATGTATCGTGTGCGCTGTGCCACCGACTGCGCTGCTGGACAGGCCCAACGCGATCCGCTGCTGCATACTGGACGTGACACATTGGCCTGTTTCAAGAATAGCAGCCGTGAGCGTAAGCCTGGCCGTCCGTCTCTAAACCCCAAGCGATCAGGTAGAAGTACGGAGATCCTGCAACTGGAGAGCAAATATGATGGACGTTCGTAAGAGATGGTACCCCTGGAATGACGACGATCGGAGGCCGTGAGAACCCGCGCGTGTTTTGACCGCCGGCAAGGGTAATTTGAGCTAGTAGGTCCAATATTGTTCCGCTGCAAAGAGGGAGCGCTCAACAGTATGTCCATAGCCTGGAGTAAACGCCAACGAGCCTCGGTGTGGTTACATCAGTACTCAACCCTCGCAAGGGTGGACGTACAGAGGTGATGTTGGGATCCCCGCGAACGCAGCTTTGGCGCGGATATGGCCATAGAATTGACAGCGAGCATCGGCATTCACAAACCGTCAGGACCGATAATCGCCAACGTGGTGCAGTACGACATCGACCATGCCGCCGACAACCCATCATGTCAGATCGCGAGGCTTGAGGTCAGAAGCCGGCGTAAAGGAGCAAGAAGACATGTCTTCGGGAAGAGTTGGAATGTGTCCGACTCGACAACTACGAGCGCCATGTACGTCGGAAGGTTGACAAGAGACCGGATGCGACACACGGAGCTTGAGCCTGGATGCAATGCGCAAGCCATACATCTCATCTTTGTGTCAAGTGAAGACCCGGAAGTTTGCTGGGAAGCTGCCCGTCGAGTAGCTGCATCGCGGGGTTCTCGCCTCGGTCGCTATTCCCCTAATCGTTGTATAGTGGTATCAAGTTTACGGCTCGGACGCAAGGCTGATCAAGAACAACTCCTCCGCAACAACGGCGACAAAGAATGAAACCTATATGGCAGTGAAAGCCTCAGGCTCACGAAAGCGGCGTTGAAGGATTGGGGACGCAGTCATGTATGCGAGATGTTCGTCTCGATGTTAGACAAGCCTGGGCCGAGGGACGAGCGCTATCGTTGGGCTAAAGACGGTAGAAATGATTGTGCGAGCGTGATGATTGGTAGCGCTGGACGTCCGACGGTTCAAAGCCATCGCGAGATGGTAGTCTTCGGTATCGTACGGCCCGCGCTGAAGGTCGAGAGCAAGAGCGCGAGTATGGTTTGAGTTGACGTGCTGAGCGGTTCGGGCATACAAAACCCGACAGCCGGACAAACCGCCAGAAAATCACGCACAAGCGCTCGCTGTGGCTCGAGCGCCCCCTCCGCCTTCTGCATTCCACCATCGCCATCGGCGTAAGCATCATTTGCCGCTTAGAGATGTCTTCGCTTTGCGAGCCCCCTGCCTCTACACCAGGATACATTCCTCGGATATACTCCACTGACTCTTTAGACGCTGAGCCGGAGTGAACGGATTTACCATGGCTGAGCATATCGTAGGTCCGTATCACACCCTCCAACACTGAATCCAGACAGCTGATTGAGCAGTATCAGATCCCCATCCGGACATGAGCTCTCATGCGCGCAATAAGAAAAGAATATGTGTCATAGGTGCTGGAGCGAACGGTCTCGCTGTACTGAAAGTGTTCGCGGACTCCCCACACGTTCAATCGGGCGACTGGGCCATCAAATGTTTCGAAGAAAGAGAGAATGTTGGCGGTATATGGTACGTGGACTTATGTCAAGTTATGCTCCGAGTGTTGATTGACCGATGGTCCATGACTGCAGGCGGCCAGCGCCACGATCTTCGGGAGACAGACCGCCGGTATCCGCATTGTACGAGTCTCTCAAGACGAACATTCCTCACCCGGTGATGGGCTACGCGAGCTATTCATTTCCTCCTGAAACACCTCTGTTCCCTCCCGCATCAACTGTGCTTCGCTATCTCGAGGGCTTTACCGAAACTTTCGGATTGAGGCGCTTCATACAGTTCGATTCGGTCGTCACTGCTGCTGCATGGTCTGACAAAGAGGCTGTCTGGAATGTTACGATCTCAACGGGCGAGACTTCGAGATTTGATGCTCTCATTGTCTCCAATGGACACTATCGACGCCCACGCTACCCAGATGTACCAGGTCTGCAGACATGGTTGTCCACTGCCAAGGCGATGCACTCCGCCTGGTACCGGAGACCCGAGCAACTCGCATCTTTCAGCAAGATTGTCGTTGTCGGCGGCGGTCCCAGTGCCCATGATCTCTGCGCGGACCTCACCGCTGTGGGGAAGCGGGTCCTGCAGTCCATCCCCTCAGACCCGGGGAATTTCCCGCCGGACTCGGAGCTCTACCGCAAAGTTCCGCGAATCGCTCGCTATGGAGAGGAAGGCGAGCTTACTTTCGAGGACGGTACTGTGGAGGTCGGGGTAGACTATGTCGTTCTCGCCACGGGGTACCAATACTCCTTCCCGTTCTTTTCCGAGCCCGAAATCTTGAGCGGGATGCCGGAACTACCGCCGCCGTTCCCCTCCAATCTATACAACACGACTTACGGCCTATTCCCTCTCGCGAAACACATGTTCCCCCTCCAATCCGTCTTTCCTGTGACCTCGGTTGCTTTCACTGGTTTGGCCATCAAGGTTGCGCCCTTCCCCATCTACGAGGATCAGGCCCGCCTCATTATACACGTCTTAGAAGATCAAAGCAGGCTCGACATCACGGCCGAGTCAGTTGCGGTCGTCGAACGTGCACAGCGTATTGCAACAACCGAGGGTAGCGACGATGCTTCTACCGTACTAAAGGCGTGGAACTTCTTCACTGAATGGGAGGGCTTCGACTACCGCGCGGAGCTCAGCAAGTTCGTCAATCCGCAAGCTCCGTGGTCTTTGCCGGAGTGGGAGGCTTGGATGTGGAAGAGGAAGTGGCTGTTGAGGAACGCGTGGGTTGCCATCGAGAAGCGAGGGGATGCAGAGAAGTGGCTGAAGGGTGTTGGCACGAATGGTGTTTCTGACTGGTTTGCGCTCTGCAAAAGGTTGCTTCCGGAAGTGCAGCCCGAGGCAGAAGCTGGTGTCAAGCTGTGAAGTGGTGTCAAGGAGGGAGATGAAGGCTTGAACGACTGCAACTCAAACTACTACTACCCATAGACGACCTGTATTCTGGTTAGACATTACATTCTCAATCCATCATTAGCATCACCTGCGTACAGTATAGCTGCACACGACCACTATCCTCATTTCCGGCGTTGTAATGCGAGATTAGTAGCGCATTGTCTCACGCGCGGTGAGTTGACCGCAAAAAGACCTTCCAGCAGATTCGGGAACAATGGCGTGAACGCGGTCACGTTGTGAAGGTGGCCCTAGTGGTTAGTCAGGCGCCGCGGTTACGCGCATAGAGCCGAACAACTGCTTGCCTTTCCCCACCATCATCTCAACCTCAGAGTTCCTCTACGCGGCTGTACGCGTACATAGCCTCAGGGCGCTATCATGCCAGAAGCTGACTCGCCGCGTGGTTTGCCTCTATTGAGCGGCCCTGCACCATCTTTCGACTCGGATAATCATACCGCAGACATTGCTTGTCGGAAATGCAATAAAGAGTTCAATGTTATATTCACTAGGGCGCGACGCTGTAACCATTGCGGTATGTAGCAACTCTCGCACGGCGAACCCGTATGCCCTATCTTTGGATTGCAAGCCTCATGCTCGTGTTACTAGGTTATAACTACTGTTCATCTTGCACCGATTACACTGCGTTGATGCCCCGCGCTGACGGCGACACCACCGGGTGGGACCCTGTCCCTGTATGCGGATTCTGTATAGAGAACTTGAATATCACCGCCGGCGGTCGCAACTACCTCAGGAGCTTGCCGCTTTCAAGGCTGAAGCGCTATGTGACTGCGTACAACATCAAGACGCCTCCAGTGCTTGAGAAGGATGACTTGATAGAAGCTATAATCAAAGCCAGGGTGCGTAGTGATGACTTGATTGACCTCGCTTTGGAGCTGACCATCTGTATAGGGACCTAATGGCTGTCTCTCGAATACCCAAGAGGTCAGTCCCACCAAGCCCGATCAGCCGCAATTGTCGCTGATGCCCTCGAACGTATCCAGGACTTCTATAGGCTGCATAGCGTACCCAATGGTCGACTCGGTCGCCCGCGAGGGTTGTTCTCCAATCGCCCGCCGCCACAACCAGCACAGCCGAGTCCTCAACCGGCTCGCAACTCGGCACCCTCCTTCGCTCGACCCGATCTAGACCAATCGTCAAACGCAAATTCGACTCAACGCCCACCGAATCATCAACCACCTCCGTCTGCGCACTACGTGCCGCGATACGCCCCTCCACGATCCGCTCCACCGCCTTCCCATTCACCTCGCCCTCGCTACCCATCGCACCCACCGACTCGGCCCGATGCGCAGAGATCGACATCTGGGGGTGTACCTCCTCGTCCAGCGACCACAGCACCCGCCCCACCGCGCGCTCCGCCGCCTCCCGTCCCCTCCCTCGATGAACTTCTGACTATGTCTGAAGACGCGGTCGCCGCATTGTCCATCGGCACGCTCAAACAGGTTTTGTTCCAAAACCACGTCAATGCTCGCTTGCTACTCGAGAAAGGAGAGCTTGTTGCTCGTGTGCGGCTCTTGATCGAGGATGAGCGTCAAGAACGCGCGAGGGAGACTGCAGCCCGTGAGCGAGAGGAACAGGAGATTATCGCAAGGCAGCATGCTATGATGGAAGAACAGCGTCTGCGCGAAGAACGTCAGCGTGAGGAACGCGAGGCGCGCGAACGAGCTGCTGCTGCCGCAACTGCTACTTCAGGTCTTGAAGATGCCACGAGTGAGCCTACTGCTGGGAATGAAGCCTCAGATGACGCAGGAGAAGGCAAACCGGTCACACCTCCGGCTGAGAATAAGACGTCGGTGCCACCGCCGCCGCGGATGTCCATGGCCGCTGCTGAGCGTACCGGTCTCTGCGTTATCTGCCAGGACGAGGAAGCCAACATTGCCATTGTTGATTGCGGGTGCGTACCCATCGCCACAAGTCCACGAGTCCTGCTTCTTCGTGTGAGCTGACCTTCGATCGTAGACATCTGGCGCTGTGTCGTTCCTGTTCCGATCTCGTCATGAAATCCTCTCGGGAATGTCCCCTTTGCCGTACTCGGATCGTTACCGAGCAACGGCTTCTGCGCATCTTCAAGACGTGATCATGCTAATCAAGTACCTGTACTAGTATCGCTTTGTCCGCTTGCTATCTGATTGCATCTGCTCTTTGGGTTTAACTCTACTACTGCTAAGTTATGGTGTTGTACCGAGACGAACCAAACATGTACATAACGCTATCACGTGGACATCTAATAGATCTCTCCTTTACTTATCCCAACGAGCAGATACGGCCCAATAGTTTTCCCGAGATGCACTAGTGATGGGTACAGCTGTAGCATGGCGCACGCATGTAAAACTACAGAAGACTCAACTGAGATGAGCGGCCGAGTATACTGTGTAGTGCTTCTCTAGTACGCATCTCTCGGTAGGGGGCCCGTTCGCAAAGATGTGGACCTGTGTGCTGACTACAAGGCACCGCGAAGGGAATTTGATACGTTTCATCCGCGTCAATCACTCGTGAGAAGTCAAAATAGCTATGTGAATTGTTGTACAATTAATCCCGACTATACTGAGACCGACTACTCTACTACGACCTATGCTACATCATCACAACTCTCCTGTACATTTGATTCTCCTGCGGTAAACTGCTGCTGCTGTAAGATGCGTCTGAAAACAAGCCCCGAACCAGTCCGTCTCCTCGAAGAGGAGTTTTACATGTTAAGAACGATGCGGCCAGCGATCTTGCCAGCCTCGAGGTCCTCGTACACGTGCTTGAGCTCGGCGAGGGGCTTCTTCTGGTAGATGCACTTGACGGCGCCACTGGCGGCGATCTCCATCGCCTCGATAGCGTCCTGGCGGTTACCGACGTAAGAGCCGACGATGTTGATGCTCTTGAGCACGGTGAAGAAGATGCTGGCCTGGAGCTTGGCCGCACCGGGAAGACCGACGGCAACGAGCGTACCGCCCTCGCGCAGATACTCGATGGCCTGCTCGTAGCCGGAGCTGCTAGCGGAGGTGACGACGGCCGCATGTGCACCAAGACCGTTCGTGGCGTCGACGATGTCCTTCACAACGTCCTTGGACGTCTTGAAGTCAACCCAGACCTCGGCACCGAGGTCCTTGCAAAGCTTCTCCTTCTCGGCACCGGTGTCTGCAGATGCTCTGTGAGCGAACTCGCGCGTGTTCCATCAGAAGAGGTAGACATACCGACTGCGATGACACGGAGACCCATGTTGCGCGCATACTGAATGGCAAGGTGACCAAGGCCTCCTCCGGCACCGGGGAGGACGATCCAGTCGCCGGCGTGCGTGTTCGAGTACTTGATGGCACGGTATGTCGTAACACCAGCGCAGAGAATAGAAGCGGCCGACTCGCTGTCAATGCCGTCGGGGATGGGCGTAACGTGTGCGACGTAGGAAACCTGTGATGGCGATCGGCGGTCATGAGCGGGGATCTTATCATAGGGGCACTAGATAGTGACGTACAACATATTGCGCGAATGTGCCGTCGACAGTGAAACCGGAGAGCTTGTTATTCCTGCAGCCTGTAAAACCGGAGGAGTCAGAACCAGATGCAACTACAGGGGTATGGGATGGAGGGAAAGGAGACGCACTCTGCTCGAGGCCCTTCCTGCAAGTCTCGCACTGGAGACAGCTGTCTGCGAGCCACTTGATGCCGACGCGGTCGCCGATCTTGACGGGCGAGTTGGAGGTATGCGCGCCGATAGCGACGATGCGGCCGACACCTTCGTGGCCGCCGACGAGGGGCGTCTTCGCTGGGACGGGCCAGTCACCCTTAGCGGCGTGCAAGTCCGTGTGGCACACGCCCGTGCACTCCATCTCGACGAGGCACTCGCCTGGTGCGAGCTCCTCAGGCTGCTTCACGGGGAAGTCGGTCTTGACTTCGAGAGAGTCGACACCACCCTGGCTGACGACCGCCGCTGTCTGCGTCTTGGGGATGTTCTTGGAGGACATAGCGCTACCGAAGTTGTAGAGCTGGTGGTGGTACCGATGAACGGTGAGAGGTTTGCGGTTGAGATGAAGAGAAGCAAGTGAATGCTGATGGGATAGGAGACGGGTGAGAGGGCGCTGTATATATACCCTCTGCATGAGCGAAGAAAGATGTTCAGTTCTGCGTCCGCGGGACTGGATGGGGCCCAGGTGTTCTGGATGGAAGAGAATTCAAGAAGGGCTGTACACAGTTCCTCATGATGCCTTCCCCAGTTAAAGCGCGCGTAGCCCGAGACGTCGGCTCGAGAGCATCCCCCGAGGCAGGCCGCCGTGTGGCGCGCGCAGGCTCGGCGCGCGCCGCGACCGAACCCGACTCAGGGGCATAAATCGACAGCGGGTCAGTGAACATTGCGCCCCCATAGCTGCATTTACAACTGGGGTACACTGCGGGACTCCGACCCGCTGATCGATAAGGTCAGTTGACCAGGAGTTGGGCTTTTCCAAGAGCCAGAGGCGAACAGAAGAAAGAAACAGGGATACAACCAATTCAGTTGAAAGAGAGACAGCACACAAACATCCGGGCGTTGAGCGGGACGGAACGCCCTGCGCGCTTCCGAGTCTGCGCGCAAGAGCCGCGCGAGACGTGTCCCGTGCCGCTCTAGGCAAGACCGGACAAGACCGGGGCCCCGAGCGTAGCATGCTGAAGAGAGCGTTCGTTGATTCGTCCAATCAAGAGCCGTACTTGGCCTCCCGCTAGCGATACCTGTACTCTACGGCCATACACGGCCGCCGGGTACTTGGGCCACATGAGCCGTATCTTCTGTTGGTGCTGGCTGGCCTGTTGCCGCAGTTGGCCGTACGCTCGCGAGGGGAGGGACCAAGCTAGAAAATGACCCGCTATCGATAGCCGGGCGCCACCCGCGGCACCGGCTTGACCTTCTCGTAAACTCCTGCGCTCATCTGCCGCCTCGACGCTCTCTTCGGGGCGGCGGTGACTCCGTCGCATTGTGGGTACGCGTCCAGATCTCACGTCGAAGAAACTCGTTTGGATCTATATGTAGCCTCGACCCGAACCTCGCCTATCTTAATAGACTCCAGCGATTTGATGATCAGATTAGATTCTCGTTTGGTGTGACGTCTGACGAGGGGCAGGCTCTCTCTTGGATCATTACCACCACCATCGTCAGCACAGTCGCTGAAGACACGATTGTCAGATTTAAGGGCCTTTCTGTGCCGACAAGTGCTGTCTCAAGCCATTCGAAAATACTCATACATGCGCCACGTATACCGTTTAGACGAAAATGACCAACCTCCTCACACACCCTGTTCCATGGTTATAGGCAGGTTATTTCTCGCCAATGCTTGCCGTCTCTTCTTTGCGGAAGTCTCCGCGTGGCGTATTGAGTTCGAGTAACACAAGCCCCTCAGATAGCTCACGGCGATTCTTCTCTCATTCGTAAGCATGCGTTCATGCTTTCACCATCACGTCGCGGTCCGAATCGCGGGCCAGAGTCTCTCCCCATCTGAAAACTTGACCGATGCAACTCGAGCGATACGATTTCCTTCCTGCTTACCATATTCTCACGAAGATGCTTGGACTGGGGTAGGATGGTCACACGCCAGGGAGACCGGGTCTGCACGGACGGCCGGATATTAGCATGCGTCGATTGATCATCTACACTGCTCGCGGGTCTACATCACTTGGGCGAGAAGTCAAGGCTCAATCGCAAACGGCTTCGATAAGGGGTATTCATCTGTGTACACATGACGTTCGTAACTGTATGGACTGCCGACTGCAAAATCTCCCCTACACTCGTTGGAATAGGTCGCGTGCGAAGCATGTGAGTCTTCGCATCACCCTGTAGACGTCTACTTAATATATAGCAGACAGATTGCTGATCGAGCATTGCGAATCGCTATTACCGCCTCTCGTGCACAATGGGTCCAAGCCTCCGTGTCTTTTGTTATGTTCAAATCTTCTATCTCTCGAGGTTCGTCCCGTGCGCCCTTACCTGAGAGTCCCAGTGTGGTCACCGGTATAAGTGAGGCTCATGCAAGGCTTCTTTCGCTGCCCTCATGGATCGAAGATCTAAGGATTGTGATCTGTGCGCCTTCTGTGTTTCGAGGAAGTTGGACCCATGTTATCGCTAACCATGTTCCTCGCTATCAGCACAGCAGGGCTTGGTATTCCAAGTAGTGTATAAGAGCAGTCTCTAAAGACACTGTGCCTCCAGACTCAGGTTTACCTTCATAACAACACCATGGTTGCGACGGATCCCAGCTACCCGCTTCTTCCCCTGGCTTACTTTCTGTCTGTGGTGACGCTCTCGCTCGTGATGCTCACCAGTTTCGTGCGCCAGACATGGAATCGAGGCGTGGTTTTTCTGTGCTTCTGGGTCATGGCAGAGTGCTTGACAAGCGGCGTTGATTGCATCATCTGGTCAGATAACGCCGAGCTCAAGTTCTACGTCTATTGTGACATCGGTGCGCGATTAATCTTCAGATATCTTGCCAGATCACGGATTCGTATTGAAGCCCTGTACCAGTTTCACACATCCAATTGATCACATACACCGTCAGACCGATGGCTACCCTGATTATAACACGTCGGCTTTATTTAATCACCAAGCTCCAGACAGTGGAGCCCCCTACGAAGAGCATGGTACGAGGTCTTTCTGACCTCCCTATCACATCTGCGAGCTGACTGAGACAGAGACGCCGGACGGCAATCATAGAATGGGTTCTAGGGTTTCTCATCCCCGTGTTAGTGGCAGGCCCCATCTGTGAGTGCCATGCAACTTGAACCGAATGTTTGCTTTGCTCTGCTCCGAGTCCACTGACGATCACGCCCAGACTATGTCAGCCAAGGCGCACGCTTCGAAGTCGACGAAGGATTCGGATGCACCGATGCATCAGCTTCATCCATGCTAGAGGTCTTGACACTGGAATCTTGGGCAATAATCCCTCCCCTTTTCTCTATCATCGTATACTATCGTGCGTTGAAAGCATTTCATCGGTATTTACTGCACCTACTCAACCGGGCTACACATTATAGCGACGGTGGTGCGAACTCTGTATCGCCAAAACAGAGACGTCAATAGCTTCCTAGACAGCAACGACTCGGTCTCACGAACGAACTACCATCGCCTCTTGGCTCTAGCTAGCATCGATATCCTCCTCACCTTACCCATCGGCTCAGTAAACATAATCCTGCGACTTGCGTCGAGCACATCCACGGGTACACTGCCCGTGTATCTGGGCTGGAATGTCGTACATTCCGAATGGGGACCAGCGAGCATTTCCTACGAGTCCATCAAGGCCGTTGGGGTAGTCACTCTGGCTCAGTTCTACTTCACCAATTGGACATCGCCCGTTCTTGCGATGGCTATATTCTGCCTCTTCGGACTGACCGCGGAGGCGCGCGCGTCGTATGTACGTGTGGCGTATATGGCATGCGGGTGGGTTGGATGGAAGCAGTCCATGCGCGCACGCGACGCGGTCGTAATAGACGACATCGCGTTTTCTGAGAGCCCACCGGGTGATGCTATCGATACTATGGGAGGGTAAGTCGCTACAGCAAGGATACTGTAAGACACGGCTCACATCATGATATAGATCGCGCATCACCGCTGTCTACAATGATTTGCCCTTGGTGAATCACGACGTCGTCTCAGATGGGGGAAGCTCTCTACGCCACCCGTTGGAGCGGGAGCGTATCAGCAATGCTAGAAAGCATTCGTGTCGAGAGCCATGACTCGACTATACATTAGCCCAAGTAGACACGATAAACAACGATACAAGGGGAGACAGTGCTGTTGACAATCCACTATAGAGATGCACGACATGTCGAAGGCTGTGGGAAGAGAGCGAAGGAAGCATGTCGCCACGCGGCCACGACGCGAAGGTATTGCCGTCGAGTGTGCCAGCATATGAGTCTACGGTCCATGAGGCCTGGCTCGACTTCAGCGTATGGCATTGGACCCCTTCGTGTTTTTCAAGCGTGCGATACTCAGGATCATAGCCAGCAGATGGTCGTTCAAGACAAGATGCCCGGGCCGCACATCTATGGGCGCTCAAGCGCTCGAGCTCGGCGCGTCTTTTGCTTTAGACTACCATCACAACCTTTCAGCATTGTGCAGGCCACTTCCCGGTCTCTCTTCTTCATATGCGACCTGTCATCTGCAGTCAAATGTAGTCTCCCGAAGGGGCCAGGCGTTTGCACTCACTGCGAACATCCTTCGTGTCGCGTCGGGTAGCGTCGACCGGATTGGACGAGCATCCTGCCCTCATGGACGAGAGGTCTCTGACTCTGCGATCCAGATCAGCCTAAGCCCTCCTAGCCGTGAGACCTATATCTGCTGCCCATATAGGCTCAGACTGCAGATAGCTATCTCAATACCACATACGCATAGTCGCCCTTCCGCCGACATTCCGACACTTCCGGTGTTAGTTGAACTCCTTCTCTCCCCATCAAAGTCTCCTGACAGTGGTCATACGTTCACCGAGAGCAGTGCGGCCATCTCTCCCTTGGTCCCGCACGTCGTCGTGGTGCGCCTGAGTTCCGCTACTTAGCACGGCACCTAACCCGATACCTGTAGGAATGAAGCTGCTCCCGCGCACTCTTGACCGTGTTGGCAAGGGGATGTCTATTGCGAGTGTCCTCGTCTTGCAGCTTCCTGTCAAACCCACCATTCATAAAGATCCCTGACGCGAAACCCGACCTGGATTTGAACCGTGCTGGCGGCGGGCTTCAAGATATAAAAGACCGACATAGTACAATGAAGGTGGTCGGACATCCACACGTCGCATCATGAATGCAGCTGATCCCACGTATCCGCTCTACCCTATCGTCAGCTTCTTCGCAGCCGCGATGCTGCTCATGGTACTTCTGACCAGCTTCATCCGTCAAAGCTGGAATCTTGGGGTCGCTCTCTTGTGCTTTTGGCTCTGCCTCAACAACCTCGCCGGTGGTGTCAGCGCCATCATATGGTCAGATAATGCTGATGTTAAGCTGTATACCTTCTGCGATATCGGTCAGTTCTTACAGCTCTCCTGAGGACTCAGGAACCTGACCAATCTCGCCCAGTATCACACTTGTACGTGATAACTTGCGTCACGAAGCCCATGGCGACGCTCGTTATAACTCGCCGACTGTATGTGATTGCCAGTCTCCGGTCTGTGAGCTTCCCCAGCAAGACAGCGGTGAGCAGTGCGTGCGCTAAGCACTCGCACTGGCTGACGAAGTATGGCAGAGACGATGGGACTTATTGATAGAGTTAACTCTGGGGTTGGGTGTACCCCTGCTAGTTGCCGGACCCCTCTGTGAGTGCGCTGTCTTGACCAGTGTGGTCCCCATTGTCTGACTTGCTCTACAGACTACATCAATCAGAGCAACAGGTTCGAGGTCAATGAAGGATTCGGTTGCGCGAACTCCCAACGGACTTCGATACTCGAGATCCTGACGATCGAGTCGTGGACGATAGTCCCGCCTCTGATTTCGATTGTTTTCTACTACCGTAGGTTGCTTCCGTCGGTTTGTGACCCCCTGATACTCATCAGAATCTTCTTAGCTAGAGTAGTACGAACGTTCTACCGACAAAGCCAGGACGTGAATAGCTTCCTTAGCAGCGACAACTCGATATCGCGGACGAACTACTTCCGCGTACTCGTGCTCGCCAGCATCGACATCGTGCTCACACTGCCCACCAGCGTCGTCACCATCGTTCTCCGAGTCACATCAGGACTGGAACAAGGCTCTCTCCCTTTCTATTGGGGCTGGGCGTCGTTGCACTCGGACTGGGATCCGTCGAGCATATCATACGCGGAGATCATGGACGGCAAGGCGTCCTCCATCGCGCAGTACTATTACTCCTACTGGACCGCGCCGATCCTCGCAATCGCCATCTTCTTCCTCTTCGGGCTGACGGCGGCGGCTCGTGCATCTTACTGGCGCTGTATCTGCACCATCAGGCCCAGTGAGAAGTCCGTCTAGGTGGTCAAGGGAATTCTAGCCGCGTCATATGGTGGTCGAAATGGTGCAAAAATAAATGCCCAGAGAGTTGAGCTCGCGAGGGTTCAGAGAGAGGATGACGCGCCGCGCGCGACCATCCACAGAGAGTTTCGCCGCGGCGAGCCTCAGAGAATTTGGTGGGCTGTCGTGGCAAGCCGGCCCGGACCTCCGTACACGCGTACGTACGGTGTATACGGAGCTGATCACCGTGGCCGATTGGCTCGAAAGGGGCGGCGGGAACGG